ATTAATGACAAACGGATTTATTATTTTTCTATGGACTATATACATTAATAAATAGATATTTTCTATTTTATTGACATATTAATAAGTAAGTATGGGGGTGGAGGATGGATATGATATTTGGCATTAGTCATTAAACTGAATTAGTATTTATTCGGCATGTTATTGTGTTTGAATCATTTAGTTACAAATCTCGCTGGTAAATTTAGGTAAGAAGCAAGAACTCCCCAAACTGATGCCATTCTTAGGAAGCGAACAGGAAAGGGAGCAATTATTGATCAAGCAACGCTATGAGGAAGTACATATTTAATGATATAGAGGTTATTAGAATTTAGAACTTTAGAAGATGTAGATAATCCTAATGTTTCACTAACAGGAAGACTGTGGAATGATCTTTCAGAATTAGAAGCTTTTCTTTCTACACTGTACATAGCCACAAAAAAGCTACAATCTGAAGAATTAACAGGAGGCGAGAATGGAAGAATGTGATGTTTGTTTCTTTCTGGAATGGAAGGTTTATTGCAGAAGGAATCATTTCTTAAATGAAGAAAAGAGAAGCTGGTTTGCTAGACAATGAGATCTTGCTGGATTCAATATATATAGATCCAAAACACGAATTTTGTTGGGTGACGACAAATTAAGAAGGCAAAAAAAGCCATCTATGATCTTTCAATAAGAATGAAATTATTTTCAGAACAATTGGATTATTCAAATCAGGACAGTCAAACTGCAACTGACTCTCTATCATCCTCTTTCGGTGATAAATTAGATTTTGAGAAATATTTTTGGATAATATTGAAAAGGCTGGCAAAGCGAATGAAAATAAAGCACTAAGACCCTGTAGATATAAAAATGAAAAAATACAAACACAATTTCTACATGGCCTTTGAAGAAATAGAGAAACATGATTGCTCCTGCAAGATACCTCTTTTAGAACTTATAAAAATCTGTCCTGAGAACTTAAAAGAAGTAGTCCCAACAGTAACAGCTCTTCCTCATACTCAAGTCAGTGTGGACTCTTATCAGCTCTGAAGTTTATCAAATCGGATCTATAGTGCTCCAAGAATGAAGATCTTGCCGATACGATACTTTTTCTTAGACCAGTATAACATCGACAATAACCTAATGCTAGATTTTTCATTTCATAATAAATGCTAATTAACATAAATATTTTGCTATGCCATCAATTGTTCTTTCTGCAGCATCTATTACTTCTTTTATTTTAAAAAAACACGCTATAACCCATGTGTATATGTTTACATATACATCTATGAGGGAGTAGGAATCGAAGTCGGAGTCTTTAAAATTCCAGGAGTTGGTCATTTTCCCTGCCGACTCAGGAGCCCTGCTTCTAAGTATGTCTAAATTTTTGTATGAGTTCTGTTACTGAATAATAATGTTAGACGCAACATGTTAATGTATAAAATTTTTTTGCCTTCTCTTTTTTTAAATATACTTATACCTTTTTGTGTCTCGGAAATATGGTCAGCCTACTCAGGAATGTATCTGAACTAGCTTGTAAAGATAAGTCATTAAGAGAATACTATCGTTAGAACAAAGTAATGATAAAATGACAAATATTTATTTGTAAACAGGTAAAGTAAAATTTTGAATAGGATCTTAATTGCCAGTTTTATTTATGTTATATATTGAAGGAGTCTTTCTGCCTGTTCCTGTATATTTAGTGAAAGAAAAGCTATGGTGTAAAAATATCAACATTGTTTCTTTTTTTTTAAGTTCCTTCCCCCCCCCTTTGAAGGCCGCTGTGCCATTATAAGGAACTTTCGTTTGAGTCTGAAACTTGAGTTACTTAAGAATAGTGGTTAGTTTATAACAGACCTCCAATTAATTAATTGCATTTTAATTCAGAGTCCATATATTCCGGCGTATAATGCGCACCAGTGTACAACGTGCATTTAGAATTTCAAACTATATTTTTCAATTTTAAGTACTTTCGCTGTATAACGCACCTTTTTCTTTACGAAGAAACCTGAAAGATATATGTGAGATGCTCTTATGAAGTCGTTCATTTGAAGATTTTTCTCAGGCTTTCGAACGGCAGTATACTGAATTGACAAGCGATAAGGGGAACAGTATGTATGTAGGGGAAATGCTTGAGAGAGTAAATGATTCTGCAAATGAGGGTGGGTTGTATTTATTGCAGGTGGGACAAGAATGTTATTATTCGATTTCAAGAAAAGGAGGGCATAATTTGGGGTAAGAATACTCTTCCGACCCGACTGAATTAGCGGAATTAAATGTCAAATGTTTTCTCCTTCTGTCGTCATTTGAAGCCGTGATATTGAAGTGAACATTGAAGACTTCAGTAAATCGTATTTGCTTTAGTTGGAACTCGGTGATCTAGTGTTCCTTTTAGTATCAAATAGGGCTCTTGTCAAACGAAACAAACATAGTGCTAATTTCAAATGCAAAGACATTCAGTTTTCGAAAGAAAATGGAAATCATACTGCAGCAAGGATATTTGGTGTTCTACAAAGCTACATACATGAGTGAAAGTAAAATGAAATTACAGTAATTAATATGACAAAGAATAAATTTGCTTTGCTTAAATGAGTAACGAAATGGCCTATCCTGGAAGAAAGTGTTGCAAAATGAATCCTAGAAAATCTCCAGAGTGGATAATTGTAATAAGAAACAGGTTTATTTCCTTAAAGCGGGCAAAAAAGAATGCAACTGAAAGTGAAAATTTTAAATCAACTTTGATTTGGTGTAATTGATTTATGGCACGGAATAATTTGTTTCTAAGAGAAAAAACAAAAGTTTCTAAAAGGCCTTCCGAAAGATTTGGATGACGTAAGTTCTCAGATCTACGAAGGCAAATAAATAAATAAAGCAAATAAAAATATTTACTGTCACGTGCTGGAAATATGGATGAAACTCCAGTAATGATGATATGATAGGAAGGAAAAAAAAAAAAAAATGGTGTATAAAATCGGTTCACACAAAAGCAACAGGTTGCGAAAGATTCAAATCATTATAGTGCTTTCCTGCTTACAAAACAAACAGTACAAAATAAAAACCCATGGTTATTTTTAAAAGAAAGATGGTGTTGAAATCTAACTTTCCAGATAGTGTTTTTCATTCATGTTGACAACAAGCGATAGATGGATGAAATTGGTGTGAAATTGTGGATAAGAATTGTTTGGCAAAAACGTCTTGTTGCCTTAAAGAATCCAGAAAGCCTTTTAGCTTGGGAGTGTTGAAACGGATAATACGAAGAAATTAAATGAATTATTATGAAAGAATAAATAATTATGAAAGAATGTAATACAGACATGGCAATTATTCCAGGCGGATTAACGTCATTCATTCAGCCTTTAGATGTGTGTGTATCAATAAACCAGTCAAAGAAAATTTAAAATGACAGTGGAATATGTGCGCACGGTATCTGACAGCGCATGGCCCATATATGTCCTATCTTCACAGATTTCGCCTAAGAGACAGTGACCAATGTATTTGTGGCAGTACTGGTGACCCAGATCACTATCTGTTTGACTGCTCGCACACAAGGAATTCACATTTGAAAAGACCAACTGCAATCAATATGCCAGCATGGTTCAAGAACACAATTAAGAATAAATATGCGCTTAGCCGCATTAGAGACTGCATTACCATTGCTAAAAGCATTGCTGACAACCCTGGAGTGACTTCTATCCTTGGACACCATGCCGTCAGCAGCCTGCTCTGTACATATATTAATTTACTTAATGTCAGGGGCGTAGCTAGAGGGGGCAAGTGGGGCATCTGCCCCCCGGGCGCAGAATCCAAGGGGCGCCAAACTGATGTTACGACATTTTAGAATTAAATGTTTTCCATCCTTGGCAAGCAATAGGGGCGCGAAATCTTCAGTTGTCCCTGGGTGCTGAAAACCCTAGCTACGACTCTGCTTAATGTCTTGTATTTTTTGTTTGTTTTGCTGTTTTTAATTATATTTAATATTATGACTAATCCGGAACTCATTTAACGTATTCCACAATTTGTAATGTATTTGGTCATCTTTTACATCTGTACCTGATTTTTATAGCACATCCTTAATATAACTGTATGCCTAACATGTACGATAATAGTGAAAAGTGTTCCGTTTAGTTTCAGCAGTCCCCACCATGCATCTTCTTTCCATGCTCTGGTCCTCACTTCAATGTTCCTCGTTTCGTGGCCAATCCCCGGAGGACACAGTACTAAGCTCTTTATTTATATTTTATTCATGTATTTTTTAAAATTCCATCGACGGGATCCAACAGGCTGAAAAGCACCTAACCCAGTGGGCCAGCTGTTCCGTCGATGGTGAAAAGAAAGAAAGTGGAATATATGGATTTTAGAAGGCGAAAAAAACATTTACAAAAGAGACCAAAAGCATCATGCCAGTCTAGAAATGATGTGTGAGTGGATAATAAAAGCATGGAATGAAATTGAAGCCGACATAATTCAAAAGTTCTTTAAAAAGTGTAGTGTATCTAATAAACTGGATGGAGCGGAACTTGATTATTTATCTATGGACTAGAATAACGTTATTCTGGCATTGTACAATGCTATATAACGGAAGAGGAATGTGACAAACTTTTCATGTTATCCTCTTATGTCATTACTTTTAAATAAATAGCATTTAGGCACACATACAAATCTAATTTTTTTACGTCCACCTTTTCCTTATTTTCAAATACTATATCGTTTTTATATCCGGCTTATAAGGCGCACCCATAAATTTCGATCATATTTTTTTTTATTAAAAGTGCACATTATACGCCGGAATATACGATATATTATTTTATGCTACTTTTGTGCTTTCCAATATATACTTAAATATGGTAGGTCTGAACTATTTGTACTTTATCCTTCTTTTAGGGAACTATTTGCATTACCAAAATATCAAAAATGAAACTGCATTCTTCAGTTGCCAAGTTGAATTACATTGAATGGAAGCGCAGAAATATGCTCTATATGTTGGACTGATATGCTTATACAATAATTGAAAATGGACACTCTTTCAATATTTAGTTTTATATATCTTTTAATAAGTAGCAACATGGAGCAGGATCATTCTGGGCACAGAAGTGAGCATATTGTCGAACCAAGCATGCTTTTAAATGTAATCTTTGTACAGCACCTTTCATGATTACATGATCTTTGATAGCAAACATTTGCAATATGAATTGTTAGTTAGAGTTACCAATAACGACAGCTCCGATTCTTGCTGATATTGGGGATGGTCAATATCTCAGTGCGTTGGAAATTCATGTGAATATTCCATGGAAGAATAACACATTGCACACACAAAAAAATTACGCTAAAATTGCCCTTCAAAGGTAAATAGTAGGAACTTGAATCCATATTGTTACAGTACTGAACACCATGAGTAAAGTGACCTTATGTAACATATAATTCAGCATAATATTGATTTAGAACTTCGATGTGATTTCATATATGTAGTGAGTCTTATACGAAATTTTAAAGTTGCGCTGAATTAAAAGGAAGAAATGCTGAATAATTTACCCTAACTATAATTTCCTTAAAATAATATATTTGGTACTGATAGTATCTTGAAGAGTAATGAACGGATACATCTTCGCCTATGACATATTCGAATCATAATTAAATTTTGTACTAAAGCTACAACAGAAAGGACTTATTCTTTATTTTTTTAGCCGATAACAGTTAGAATTTTTTTTAAATCCAATTTTTATTTCTCAGCCATCATAAAATTTGCAAAATTTTATTTAAAATCTTTCTGCAATAAAAGGCATGTTATTTCATCTTACTTCTATTATTTACATTCCAGATAATTTTAGCCTTATCTACTCCTCGTTATTCGATCTTTCGAAATCCGGGTCTTTCGTTTACCCCCTTCTTCGTTCCTCCGATGTTCCTCTTCGGAACTGCAGACTCATTCATATGAAGTGCCCCTGAGCTTTACAAAGTTATTGTGCCGGATCCGTTGCAACGAGTTGCACAACGTATCCGGCTCAATCACCGTCAGATATCGGCTCAGTATTCATCAGATATTGTAATGTAAATACTATGTATTCTTACTGGAATGTAGGTTTCTTTTAAAGAATAATATTGTGATAGTTACCAGTAGTTTATTTATGACTACTCTTCATTTGTTATGTTCTTACTGAAACCGCGTTCTTCCAAAATTAAATAAGTCACATAATTTTCCCTTCTCAATTTTCGAATGATAAAATTAGTTAAAAAAAGGGGTAAAGTACGCGATGAATTCAGAATGGTAATCAGAGTAAAGCGTTAATAAATTAAGTCATAAAATTTAGTTCTGTGTTTATTTACTTTATTTATTTTTAGGAATAAAAACCTTAAACTATTCTTCAGGCCTATTTTTCTCATGATAATACCTGGTTAATATTTAGTTTAATATTAACAAATGCAGTATTATATATTCCTGCTGGATTTTCTCATGTATAACATTAATAAGAGCCGTTTTTTCTTAAAACATCCTCCGTGAAAACATAGCCTTTGTATGTTTTGCCCTGAGAAATCAAGAAACAGAAAAACATACAAACTTGATATATAAATTTTAAAGACATTATTCCATTGCCAAAGTATTGTACTGGAATACTCCCTCTTATAGATTTGAAATATTCATTGAAGAAGTCTATAGTAGAATGTAGAAAATCTGGTCACTTTACTCATGAATCATGAACACATCGCAAAGCAAAATATCTGGAATACATTTCAATATACAAAGTACTCACGTATTCACTAGTCCTGTGATTCCATTGGCAGCAACCTGCCAGTAAATCTCTGTCTCGAACTTGCGGTCATCTATGATCAGTAAATTTTTGAGGCAAATATACATTTCAAAATACGATTTTTTGAATTTATTTATGTGTAAATGTTTCATACTTATCAAAAAAATTATGCTTGGATGTATACAGTAATTTCTACCTTACTTTGTTGAGTAATTTTATGTAGATAACTGCGTAAGAATATTAAGTTCTTTTTTTAAACGCAGTTTTTCGAAAGCTTTCCTTAACTCGACTTTTGAATATCTGAATTTATTTATTGATTGTTCTCTATTTTCTTCAGTTGGATTAATCGGAGTTTGACTAGAAATTGACTATATATTGATTACAGTTCCCTTCAAGAATGATGCATTGAGAAAATGGGGAAGAAGAACAGAAAAACAAAGTATAATTTGATGTATCATCCCCCCTTGCCCCAAAGGCGCCAGATTTTACTGAAAAAAATCAGCCAAATTGTTACTAAAAACGCCAATAGAAACATCTGTCATTAGTCAATACGTAAGCACTGAAATATGAAGTATTGCATTTATTTTCAACAAAATATTTATTTCAAAACTTAGAATATAAAACCAGATGCAAACTTACAGAGACAGAAAAAAGCAGGAAAACAACAAATTATATATTTCTCAGATAAGGTGGGAGCCTTATTAATATTAGTTATAAGTAATTATGTAAAAATATTAGCATATATTATAGAAGACTTGCACAATTTATAATTACATATTGTTATACACTGGGCCTGATTACTACTTAAGCTGACAAGACTTAGGCCTAGGGCCCCCAAATCATCCTATAGTTTCTCCTAATTTTGCTTTATGAGAGAAAACAAGGGAATTGTGTGTTAGGGGCCTTTTAAAGAATCCTGTGTGTAAAGCTTCAAACTGTTTTAATCAGGCTGTGAATAAATATTCATTTCTTTCCTTTTGATGAATATATCTATTTCAGATTCAGTATTTTTCTATGTGTATTACTTCGAAGTATAAGATTTTTAATGCATTTGTTAGTCATATTGGCTCGATACTAACTTATCGCTCTATATATTAGAATAAAAATTGGCATTCGATTACGTTAAAAATCTTGAGCAAGTGATCAAGAACTGTTGGTAGCTCTGTTTGCTCAAGCATGTTTTACAAGGTTCGACGTAAACATAAAATTACGCTTGCAGTTTTAACAAGAAAGAACTTTGGGAAGGAATGGACCCAAAACCTTTGGTTTGAAAACGTTTTTTTGATATATAATACAAACGTATTATATATCAAGAATGATAGTGTAGCTCTTCTTTGGAAGGAGCTTTTGAAGATTCTAAATGCCTTTGTAACAGGTTATTTTGTTGGGGATATAATAATAAATAATAATAATAATTTTAAAAATGGAAAAATTGGTATAAAACTTTTCAGTTTGTGTACTTATGATTCTTAATTTTTGGTAAAAGTCTTCAAAACTTAGACGCGGAATAAATTACAAAGCATGTAATAAATTCATTCATTAAATTACAAAACATATATTTTAATAAATGGACAATATTACAAACACAACAGTGTGCATGTTAAAATTTATCTTGGTACATTCGCATTCTCACTATAACACATCTCGTGTTTCCGTATGTTAAAGTAATTATACTTGCTTGCGATTACAGTGTTTCTAAAGAGTTGACTACTAGAGAGCGTTTATACTACGCAAAGCGTATTTGGTAATGTAAATGGATAGCAAATGACTGCCCGAAGTTTAGTAGAATTTCGTCTATTATCTGAAAACGCTTTTCTTTTAGTGGTTTTTCTGATTTTGAAAAGAAATCGTAGATACACCAGAAATCTAGCTAAAAATTGATTGCGTTAAAAATAGGCAAAAAATAAATCTACCTGCTCTGGACACAAAGCAGTGGAATTTTCGAAAAGGCGCGGTTGTTTTTTTGAATTATTGTCGTGACTACTTTTCGGGGTAAAGCATCGCTTTTTAGTATCATCAAAACCATCGCGTTATAGCTATGTCTTTGCCTTTTGAATGTTATTACTATCTATATCCAGAAAGGCCAGTCTTAAGCTCTGAGATTTTAAGGAGTTCCTAATCGTTCTCTAATTTTTCACAACCCTAAAGAATTTAATTCAGAAGTCAAACAAACGGTGTGTTCGGTAAAACCATCGAAACTAGTCCTGTAAAAATTTTGAAAATATTACGCTGATTTTTGTTGTTTGATTTCTGAATTAGTATTTATTCGGCGTGTTATTGTGTTCTAAAGAATTTGTTAATTTGATGGTAGTGTAAGCTTCTCGAACAACTGCAATATTTTCTAGACAAGACTCCACGAGTTTAACACTTTCTCAAATTTGAAAGAACTGCAGCATCTCGTAAGTTCATGACGTGGCCGTATTTTCACAGGACGGAGCAACCAGAATCCGAAGAATTAAAGCTTGAATAACACAACAAAATGTAATTCAAATGCTTAAACAGTTGAAGAGATGATACTATTTATTATAAAACTTCCATACCTTTTTTAGCCCCCTTTTTTTTAACAATACATTTTTTAAACGTTCTTTGTGGAATTTAACGGTTTGTTAATTAGAAGATACTGGCAATACATCATATGTTTGAGAGATTAAGATGTTCCAGCAAGAAACGAGAACATACATGCTGCCATAGAAATCCAGGATTGTGTTTTACGGTCTTGTAAAGTCCAATGTTTTTCTGACTTGCCAATATGCGATTCCTGTCTGTGGAGTAGTCTGGAGCCTTAAATGTGCATTTGTAATGTTCCCCGATACTTTGTCTAGATATAACGTCGAGGAACCTAGTGAACTACGTAGCGAATTACAGCTGAGTTCCAATAGCTACTACGGAGACGTGAGAAGGGTTAAAATACCCATTTATTCACTCAAAGAAATAATAATAGATGACCCCTTGTCGTGCTTACAGAAAAGCCTCTACTTGGGCTTTTAAATCAGGATAAGAAAATAGGAAACTAATGTAATACTAAACTAGTAAATAGACTTATCCGAAGCTTGACACAAACACTTAAAATAATTCGCCTTTAAATTAAACTAGCCGGGGATTCTCAACATGCACGTACAATACGGCCGAGCGTAATAGATTCAAAAACGCAATAGCCAAAAGGCAAACACGCACCACTAAGGGCTCCTAAGCATTCTCTTTCGAAGTAAGTTATTTCTTCTAACTCATTTGCATTCAACGCCATTAGAAAAACTCAATCTGGTAGGGAGTTGTAAGTGAGGAACAAGAATTGAAAGCAAAGGATTTCAAAATTAAAAATAACTGTTACAAAATTAAAATACACCTTACACATTAATAAACCCAAGAACATCAACGAACTCAGGGTCATACTGCAAGAAACAATTGCAACTATACCAATCTACGTGGTCCAAACAGTGCATCCAAATGTACATGACGTACTTATAAAGTGCTGTAGAAATCGCGGAAAGCAGCTGAAAAATGTGTTGTTACAAATAATAAGAAGTATGGTCCTGTTGTAATAAATGACATCACATTTCCTATTATTTTGTAAAGTAAGTATTTGAGTTTCATTTCATAGTTCATAGTGCTATTTTAAGCTTTACATATTCCCGTAGTTCACTCTGTATTGCGCTTTGAAAATTATTCAGTAAAATATTCAATAATTTGTGCTATAATTTTCAACATTTTCATGGTTTGATAACCTGTTTCAAGCTTTAGAATCTTCATTTGCAATAACATCATGTGAAACTAATCAATATCAGAAACAGGAGTGATGAAAATATTTGCAGGTAAGCATTAACAATAAAAGGCTAAGCTCGTGTCTTCTAGAGCCTTCCTCTGTCGTAGAAGCTAATTACAAACTACTTAGCATTGCGCTGTGGTATCTAGAATCATTTCTATATATGTACACTAAATATATTGCATCCTGAATATAGTTAGTAAGTTGAAAGCACAGGTATATATGAATTCGCAAGAACCAGAACTTCGCAGAAAATCGTTAGCTTTGTACTCGTCGGTTAGGCGTGAAATGATGGCTTCGCTTCGAAACAATTGAACGCAAGAATATATAATATATCCTTCTCACCGCGTTTAAATTCTGCCTTGTTTCTCAAATTATAATGCAATTCGTTCTGTATAGAATACGTGCATCAGTTTGATGTATCGGAATTTTAATTTGCTTTGAATTTGTAAACGCAGATGTAAAAATATACTCAAACTGTAAAAATACAGTCTGGTATTGTTAATCGGGGCACAGCGAGTGTGTGGTTTCAGTCCAATAAACCAACTGCCCTTACTATTCCAAGTTTGATTGTTTTTGAAGTAAAAACCAAACAATTCTTCACCGAGGTATGTAATACCGTATTTTCCGGCGTACAGGTCGATGCGAGGCATCTGTCGACTCAGAGATTTTATCCAAATAATAATTAAATTTAGGTATATCCGACACATACGTAAAATGACGACAACAATAGTCATAATAAATAAAGAAAATAAAGGAAGAAGTTGTGTTAGAAGATACTGCAGGAATCAAAATATGCTTTAAAAGCAGCACATGCCAGAACAGTCTGGAATCTAAAAGATGTGGGAAAATCGACTAAATGCATTTGCATGCTGTTAAATGGAACTGAATGTTAAAGACTTATAGGGCACTATTAGTTTATGCTGTAGATTTATAGCAAGAAAATAAGCAGTGATGCACTAATTGCGGTAGAAAATAATAAAGAAATGAATTAACCTTTTAATTTCGGATAACGTCTGACTAAATCTGCATTCATAATTTAAAGAAATAAGTAAAATAAAAAATAAAAGGTTTTGTCTTCATAATTTTAAAAAGTTTTTTTTACAATACAAAGAGCCATTTTTTTTTTTCTCCTGCGTAAAATTTTCACGGAATATTATTTTTCCTCCTTTTTTAAAATTAAAAATATTATAAGTATTTTCCCTTTATTTATTGTTTTATTTGAAGTAACAAATATATATAGTTAATTACTTTTTTAATATAATTATTTCCTTCAACTTAATTATAATATCGCTCATTAGTTAAAATAATGTTGCAAATGTCATGAAATTATTAGTTGCGTATGTTACCAAACGCGTCTTAAATTTCGATGACTCCTTTTTAAGACATTTTTGGATTATTTTACTCTTTTATAGAGGCGGCTATCTTAGACAGGCTATATTCGATGTTTGTTTACGTACTTAGATACTAGTTACTTTCAGTGCGTGGTGTCTATGGGAAGGGGCTGCACTGAAGGGTTCGATATAAATCAATTAGATATATTATTAAAAAATAAAATAAAAGTTGGATCTTATGAAGTTTTCATTATTAAGTAGTGCATTTATTGCTTTCAAATCACTTAGTTTTATAAACAGTTGCACACTCATTAAATTTGAAAGGTTATTAAAAGACCTTATACTTAAATTTGACTTCTTTATCCTGATTAACATCATAATAATATTTATTAAAAAAACGGACTCCTACATATCTTTCCCACAAGATTATCGTAACAGATTATAAGTCTTTAGTCATTCGTTCAAATCTAAAAAAACCTTTGTGGAAAAGAAAATTCGAAAAGCATTTAAAAGTTATAAATGTTCCTTGAAGGTGTCTTTCTGAAGTTTTTGGACCTTTACGTTAGCTTCGCATTACCATCCGCGTGATTTCGCGAGTGTTCCATTGCTGTTCTTTACCTTCCCTGCATCCTTGAAAGTAATTATGAATAATTCTCAGAATGCTGCAAGAAATTATGCATTGTTGAATGTGCATAATTTCTTGCATTATTGTTAAATATGTGCTATTCAACAATGCATAAGATATTTATTTCATTTCAAATTTTAATCAGTCTCTGTTTAACAAATTGAACTACTTGAAAGCAATGATGCACTTCCAAAAAATTTAAATCTTTACTTCGTAATTGAATAATACACCAAACTTGTATTAATTATAATATATTTAGTTAAAAATATATCAAGCTAATAACTTTTATGAATATTTGCAGTATTTTATAATTAATTAAAGATGCTCTTTGTGCCATGTATTACGTACCTCGAGCAGAATCGTCTGGTCTTATGATTGAATTTTCAAACTGAGTTGCTTTCCTTCCTTTCCCCATTTTGTATAATTTGGGTTAATTTTCAGTCGGGAGTAAATGTTCACCATTCGCATTTATTGTCGATTCACCTATAGAAATTGCCATGTGAAGATAAGTTACCGTCTTCTATTGACTGTTGGCAAAATAATGTTTCGTTAAAAGTCGCCAATCATATAGTCCCAAATGAGAAATTAAATATTTTAATTAAACAGCATATTGTTGTCATACAATGAGCAAAGTAAATCCTAGACATTTGAATCCTCTCGAATTTCACGAATCTTGAAAAGGATTTAAAATAACAAAACTCGAATCTTAAACGCTTTTCCATCATTCAAATCTTCTGAATTTTAATTTAAAACCGTTAAACATTTTAACTCGAAACTGTGGAAAAAGTTAGTTTTATTGAAATGCAGTAAAAAATTCATAAAAAAACACTCCTCCTTTGTTGCAGTTTTAGTGGATCTCAATTAAAGTATTATTTCGTAAAAATTCTGAATATTATACATTTATTTTTCTAGGAAATTTAAACGTTTCGTATATAATGTTTACCTGCGTTAACTCTAGAAATCATATTTCTCTCCTTAACATTTGATTTAAAAAATAATAAATTTTTTTAAAAATATAAAATATTTGAACTATCACTCAATATTTTTTGTCAAATTATAGAAAGAAAATAAAACTCAAAATTAAAGAATTTTAATCTTCATTTACCAAACTTCATACTATGTATCCTCAATATATTCTTAACATGTTATTTATTTTCCAGAATTGCTTTAGAAATTTCTTTTTAATTAAAGAATTCTAATACTTAGTAAAAGGCATTTTTCTTTCTCTTATAACCTTTGAATGAATGATTTGAGAACCTTAAAGGACTCGAATTCGAGAAAATATAGGATTCATCTTCCCTCTAATTTTTATTTGCTAAGAATTTATTGTGTAACATTAGTCCCGATTAACTTGTGGATACATTAATCAGAATTAACTGAGTTTTCAAAAATGATTGTGGTTTTGGAACATTAGCAGAGAATTAAATATGATATCACAATTTTTATGTATTACTAGAATCATTTTAAAAATCAGATGTTAAAATATATTTTTTTAAATGATAACAAAGTTATAAAAATATGCAAGATTGAAAGCGTATAATCCTGCGCATGATATGAATCTCACAAATCAATAATATTTCAAACATTATTTTAGTAAATAAGATATCAAAATATACACGCACACCTGATACACATAATAATTCTCTTAATGATAAGTTGAAATGAGTATGTGGGGTTGGAAAGAAAGTTATGCACTTTTTTGATCTGCAGTAATTTTCCTTATAATTTAATAAGTTTATCAAGATTGCAAAACATATTACCGTAGCATTTTCTTTGTCCCTTTCCCTTGGTAACAATAATTTTAAATAATTTTTGTTCATATCCGTCCTTTTTTGAGTCAAGCAATCCATTTTAATTAACATGTTATCATTTGTCTAACACAATCGGAGTAATCATCTGGGGAACAAATTCGATCAGCACCACATTTTACGTAAATATACATTTGATAATACTTAATTCAGGTATTGAAGTTCTCTTGTAATCGATTTGTGTTCAGATTCCAAATTATCGTCTTCAGTAAAATTATCAACAGTAGAATTGTCCACGGAATTAATGCAGTCCACATCGTTATCATCATTCTCAAGGAGATCAAGACACACTCATTCCAGCCACGCCCATCTGGCGGTATAGATTCGCCTTCCGGCGCTGGCGCACTAGCTTTGCACAAAACCGGAGTTCACAAAGCTACAACCTTCCTTCTTCACGGTTGAGCACGAAATCTCATTACAAAAAAGTGAAAAGTCCGAATGAAAATGTCGGATGAAACGCCAAATCATGTTTCGAGACTAATAGCTTTTTTGGACTGAAACTTTACTTCACTGCTCAGTATGGAATTGTAAGAAATAAAGTATTTAGAAAGCTCCATTTTTTTTAACATGTAAGACTGAAAATGTTATATTTTACTGTGGAACAAAGGCACATATAAATTTAAAGTTTATTTTATTTAATGTATATATAGATATATCATGCATTTTATTCATATATAGATTAGTAATGTTTAATAATTCGCAAGGACCCTTTTCTTTTAACTTCGCTATGCTTATATCATATTGCACCTTCAAATATCCGAAGTGAGCATTTTTCAGCTTTGGAAACATGGTTAATTTCAGTTACAGTTACCTTTAACAAGCATTTGTTCATACGATTTAGCTGTTTTTTTGCCATGATCCCTTTTGTTGTAATTTAATAATACTTATACAGCTGAGTAAACTACTTTACCTAAAACCGTAAAATTCTACATTTGAGAAAACTTGCCTTAAAATAATTTGGAAGCGTCTGAATGGAATTTTTATTTAGGGTGTAGAAATAAAGGCAAAAGCATTCCACGTTTAAAAACGATTAACAAATTTTAAAAGGAAACAGAGACAAAGATGGGTTGCTGGAAATAACGTAAAAGATGCAACAAATGGCAGCGATATTTTACCAAATTTCAAGATAGAACTTTTGATCAAGAATGCTTCTCTTATTCTATAGTATATCGAAATCAAAGGTATTTTTAAAACTATATTAAAAGTAATTCTGTGATGGCAGTTAGAGAGTACTGTGTTACTGATTGGAGCAAGGTTTGTATATGATTGATGCTCAGTTTTATCAAATAATTAAAAATTTGCTTACGTTAACTAAGACCCACTGTTATTCCAAAATTATTTTGTATTTACTTTACGATGATTACAATGTTGGGTGATTTTTTTTAAACCTTTGCTTCCCGTTTCTTCTATTTAATGGAACAATATTATTCCTTACTTTGCTATTGTGGGCATATTTTTAAAATATATCCGTTAAAATGGGGCAGGATATTTTTCTGTATTGAACGAATGGAAGCTGTGTTGCATTTGTTTTACTTGATTGTTGAAATTAGAGTTAATTTTGAATTTCAAACTGGCTTGCCTATTTTTTGAAGCTAACTTCCTTTCCAACCCGTACATTCGAAGGATCAGTTTAGCAACAATAAATTATTTTATGTTACAGTACATCAGAATTGGAACATCTCTCTCCTTCTCTGAAGAACGTTTCATGTTTCGAAAATGATAAGTTTTATTGTAGTTGGATTATAAAATTACGCTTACTTTGAGTGGCTTCGTTAGCATCGGTTTAAAGCAGAAAATATACTATTACTAGCTGCTTAATAGAATTGAGCAAATTCGGCTTCAATTTCAGGCTGAAGCGCATAAAATGACAAAACAGTTTCACCACTCGTCTAATATACTTCACTGCATTCCTATCTGCAGGTACTACTCAAATGAATCTATACAGAAAAATCACTAATAATTGAAAAGTACTACATACCTCAAGAGGTTGAAATTAACATTCCTTTTAACACTTATTATGCGCTCAAGCGTAGCAAAATAGATATTAGATTCATTGCAAAAGTTCTGGCTTTGCAACACATCTGAAGAAGGACTGCATCAGCTCTTGATCCTACTTTCGAAGATACAGCTAGCAACCCAAAACGGTTGGATATCAATCCTTCTCTCTAGGCACTCGATATTCGTAATAATTTTTACAGCTAATATTTTTCGTCGTTACAATATATGTATGCATCATGTATATATTTGTGTATCAACCATCATCTAGCGTTCTCGATAATCTAAGTTCCTAGGGCGCGAAAATGAAAATAAAAAAATATGAAACAAAAAGAAAAAAAGAAAGATCGTTGTCTCCATTTCACGGGCATGTGTGCTGGTTGATGGGATTCTCAACGATATGAACTTCTTGCCGAGGATTGTAGGTTGTCGTCGTAACTGCTGTGGATGGTAGCTGGTTCGACTGCTCATCCAAGGATTTTGATAGCGAATTCTGGTATTCTTGAAGTACTTTGAATGCTGCAATGAAAGACAAAGAAATGTAAATTGTTTGGAACTCATGTGCAGACAGATTCTAAATGGTGATCGTTTAATTACCGCCTAAGCTCACCAGGCATACGCCTAGACCCCTGATTTTATCATGCTACAGAATCCCCCTATAGTTCATTATAATTTTATTTTTCCCATCATAGAAACAATAAAATGAAGGCAGGGACTTCTAAAAGAACATGGTGTCTTGCCCTGAGACTAGCTTTAGTGGGTGTTAAGTGCAGGTTCATATGTTGTTCAGAATAATAATTATCGTGATAAGTAATGAATCGAATTTTATTTCGGGATATAAGCAATAGTTTAGTTAATTTCAAAAGAAAACTTTTCGTATCAACCTAGAAATGTACCCAGAACAGTATTTAAAAGTGTTCTTTTATGTCACGAAAATTCAAAAGAAAAGAATGAAAGTCGATGTGAAAGTACGACAAAAATCAGAAAACGTAAATATGGTTGAAGCGGATTTTATATTTGCTATTTTCAACTGCTTTATCATTTAAATTGTTTTGGCTATGTTTATGTTTTGAGTTCCACTGGTAATCCCCCTCTCCAGAGAACTCTGCTACATTCATTTAATGCAAGTAATGTTCAATTTAGAGGAAATCTTCAATTGTATTTAAAAAATTCTTCAGTAGCTATGCTATCATTTCACTGAAAATCTTTATGAATAACTTCGAAGAAATATATATGAAGAGCCGTCTAAGCTTTGAAGATATTAAACCATCTTCTTTTAGCATATTTGTTTCTGATGTCCTCCTAAAGACATAACGACAGACACTTGAACGTCAGCTATAAAACAGAAGATTCCCCCGTTTTCTACTTCTTTAATCGCTGATTACGTGACTCCCGTTTGTAGGAGTACAGCTCCTTTTATATGCCTTTAATCGTGCAATGGTTCAAGGATTTTTTTTTTCCAAATTTTTTCTTGACTATAAAAAATGTAATTTCTGATTTGTACCTCCAATAGTTTTCTCGCGACATATTGCTTAAAGATACTTGACAAATATTGCTGAATTTTCAAGTTTTTATCGAAACAATGGAAAAACTAGGTATGAGCGTAAATTCTGATTCAGAACCACTTTTGGCATGTATTATCAACTGAATTCGTTTAGATGTAGAATAATCAAAGTTATTAGTAACACTGAATGGTTATTCATGGAAAAACCGCACAATTGCAAGTGTCTGTGAAGTGCTGGAAGTATTAGAAACGATAGGTGCGATACGTGAGAAAATGCTGGAAGTTGTGAGGTGCTGGAAATTCATGGAGAAAACACGCAATTGAAAGTATCTGTGAGGATATTGATTTCAAATTCCTTTCTTTAATACAGACCATAGTAACTCGATAATACTGATGTCAAGGGACTGTGTTGGCATGTCACACTGCATACCCATGAAGCTAGGCCTCTTCTTACAATACTGTAAAATGTCATCACCTGTTGAGAACAATGTTTGCATTTTGTTTCCTGCAGGAAATCCTATATACAGATGGTTAAAATTTAGGCATAATTTTTGGCCTTCACTTTACGCTTACTACCATTAGGCGAATTTGTCATGTTTCGAACAGCATTCTCATAGTGCCCGAAATAAGACATTTTGCTGCCTGTAAAATGCTTGGCAATTGACGTAAGATAATGAGATCATTCATTTCTTAAGGTGTTTTCTAAATGTAGGCACATTCGTTTGTGAAGAACAAGTTCAGTTTGTTCTTCATATCTGATCAAATGATATTTTTCCACATATCAATGAATCAGGCTTAGGAATGTATGTTCTGCCATGAATATTTTGTTTCTGAAGATCCCTCTTGACTGTTTTGCTTGATCCGATCCTGAAGTTGCAAACTGAGATCTGCAGTCACTTTAAGTGTTTTCTTTTTAAATATCATAATTCGTTTCATTTGAAGCATTTATGGTAGCTTTAAGTTAATTTATGCCTTGTCTCGTCACTAGAGGGTTAAGAAAATTTTACGCGAAGCGGCATAGTTACAACTAGGGTGTCTTCTTAACCGACACCTCAGGGAAGTCCCATGTTGCATTGCTGCTGTTTGAAAGAAAGTCACTCACACAGCAGATGCTTAGACAGCCGAAGATTGAAAAATTCAGTAAGGCTTAAAAAGTTAATTGTTTTTTTTATCCGTTCAAACCAATCAGTGTTGTAATTCTGAATAGGTTTTGGAACTGTAATTAAGTTGTAACTGTAGCTTAGTAGATAGCCAATGTAATTTATGATCCTCGAGAAGTCACAGTATTTATTTTATTACGTTTAGTACCCTATCCATGAAACATCATATCGCCTGCAGATTAATTATTGCTGCATAACTATAGACAAATGTTAGCATGATTTGCAGATAAAAAAAACTGGTGTGTAGACATTTTAGTTTAGGAATACGAAGCAGCACACTGATAAAAACACTAATATACTTTTCCGTTTCTTTTTTTAGATAATAGATTGCTTTATATAAACGGGCCGTTCTAGTCGGTATAGTGGTTAGCGATACTGGCTCCCACTATACGTAAACTGTGCTCAAAACCCGGAGAAGAATTCAATATTTGTAAATGCATAGTGTCTTTGGGGCATTGGGTCACTTAGAACAAATGACGAATCGAAAGTCCTCTCGAGAGGTTTGGTGGTAGTGGAAAGGAGATGGGAGAGCTTCAGATCCGTCCCCCCTTGTGTGTTTATTCTGCAAAATTTGGCTGGAACTGGTCAAATCATACTGCTACTTTTAAGTCACTAAGACCCATGCCAAAGCCTGGCGCAATCTTGCGTTCCTCTTTGAGATAAAAATTTGTGGATTTAGTTTAATGTTGGTGTCAGAATAAGTTAGAGAAGACAAAATATATACTTTGAACGATTTGAGCATCTGAAGGATTTTAAATTATTGCAATTATTATTTTTTTTTCCTTCAGTGCCGGGCACTTGCCTATAACGGCATTGGCCACTCCTTAAGGCCGCAGAAATGGTGGGCATTTTATTGTGGAGGCACCTAATAGGTAGCCATCGGTACCTTCCTATGAAGGGACAGACAATTTTACATCCATGCTTACTCCGGGATTCGAACCCGGGCCCTTTGGTATCGCAATCAGGCTCCTCTAACCACTATACCGTCCGGGCGGCGGCATGTAAAACTTTTCTCAGCTTTTTTCGGTTTTTTTTAATTGCAGAAATCGCTCACTTCATCAATAAATTATGATAATAATTTATTGCTCACTTCATCAATAAATTATTATTACAGTAAACATCAATAAATTATATACTTTAAAAGACTGCATATAGAGAATTACATTTTATAATTACAGTTCCTTGATTCTGAGACTAAATTATTCAGGCTTATATTAAGTAATAGGTGTTGAAATGATGACACATTTTCTGAATGCATTTAAAGAAGTGTATTTATCATGAAAGAAATTATAAATTCAAATTGTTATCTACTTTATCAGATTAGAATGTTAGTGCTTTTCGCGCCTTCTAATCAATTATAATATAAGGTATTTTCTCACTCCTTTTCGCCTGCCTTAGTGGTGTAACTGGAAGCACGCTCGACGCGCATTCAGGAGGTTCGAAGTTAGAATCCCCCCGAGGGCATTGCGGATTTCTTCAGTTTCCTACCTTAGGAAAAAAAAAAATCTATTGACTCTACAAGTGGCGCCCGAGCTAAAAACGTTGTGGGTGATAATTCGTCCCCACCAGGATTTGGCGATTGGGTCTCCTAATCCCCAATCGGAGTATCTTATATACTCCTCTTTAAAAGGAGGAGTATATAAGACATTTCTTCCTCCTTTCATATGCGTTCGTGGTATAAGTGGAAACATGCCTAACGAGTATTCGGGAGGTTCAGATTTCGAATCCCGGCAAAGGCATTGCGGATTTCTGAGGTTTCCTGGCTTCGAAAAAAAAAAAAAAATCTAATGACTCAACAATAAAAATGTTTACTAAAATAGCTACCAGTATAAAAAGTAAATTACCTTCGTTGCTCGTAGAGGCTGCGGAAGATCTTCTTCGATACTGATTTACAGCTAGAAAAATAGAAATGCAGAGTTACGTAAAAGCATCTAACTGTAGTAAAATAAACAAAATATTCAGATTTTTAAGAAAATTTACTGCTGTTTCGAGCGAAATCTATTACAGGAGACTAAGAATATATAAAAAAAGTGCGAAATAAAGTATAAAATGATTAACATAATTTCTAGAACATAATCATATACTTTAACGATTTTATTGTATTCCCTTTTCCAGCTTGGTTTCCAGCTTCAACACCATTTCACATTTAATAATTTTTCAACTCTTACTACTGTGCAGGAATCTATCATCTTATTCGAATTATATATAATCCTCATCTAATTTCACCTTCTACTATTATATCAATTTCTTACAATGTTAACTTCATTGTGTATCGGGAGCAAATGTTGCATGTGTTTCGCTGTTCGTTATAGCTAATTGTTTCGTATTCCCTTTTTACATTTGTTTGTATTATTGTATATTGTGAACCTGTAGTGAACTAATTGAATTTGAGTAAACGTTTTAAAATTTTACTTCATTAGAGAAATGCCTTAATTATATAACTCAGGGCTTTCTGAAACGAAAGTAAAGAAATCAGAAAAACATAAGATTATGACTTGAGATTTGTTGATTTAAGATTGCATATTGTTATGTGTTCTGAAAGGCAAGCTATAGGGAAGACTACAGGCACAGACTTCAAATTAATATATGACTCTTAATGTGATCATAATACTACGACACTAATATAAGGTTGTCAGTTGAAGAAGATTGGGAATGACTGCAAAAGGGGGAGCTAAATGGTCACTCTCAAAGACATACTGGAATGTTGTAAGAAAAGCAAAAGTTAGCTTGAACTAGGGGTTATAAAACAAAATAATAGACTTATTGAACACATTCTGCAATAAACTCACTTTCTGTGTTCAGACATTAGACTTTCTATGCTCAGACTCAGTTAATTATACATTCATTATGTAATGTTTTGATGATTAATAAATATGTAATAAATAAAACAAACGTATGACATTTAGTGTATCATCCTGCATAGGCTTGAAGTTTGTATGTTATTGTAAAATTTAAATATTCTCATTCGATTTTAATTTCTGAACAGATAATATCGTATGCAGGAAGCAGAGAGAGAACATTTTGTGATCGACTATTATAAGGTATTAGAAACTATTTTATTCGTAATGTTCATTGCAAAATATTATTAAGAAGTTTAATAAGATGACAGATTAATTTTCGTTTCGTTTCGTCGCCTGTAATTTCAAAGAAAGGTCCTCTGTATTCTCATTTGGTAACATATATTTATAAAGGCCAGTATTTTATTTCTACTTGAAAACAATATCTCTTCTGGATGTTAATACAATAAACATAAATGATTTACCGTGTCCTAATCCTTGTAGAAAAAGGTAAAGAGCTTCGCAGACTTTATGTGGTCTCTCTTCTAGCGGCATACCGCAGTCAGACAGCTGTAAAACACACACTCATTGTTAGACATGTAGAAAACAAACGACTTTTTAACTACTTTATCATATACTCTATGTATATAATAAATATTCTACAGATGAATCAACTTGGCATTAGTGCACTACTTAAAAGTCTCACACAGAAATATTTAAAAAACATTTAAATACAAATCTCATTCCCCTTCATAATAATGTGCTGTTTCAGAATTCGAGAGCGCTCTCAGGGGGTATAGTGGTTAGGAGAGCCTACAGCGGTAACGAGGCCGCGCAGACGGTATAATGGTTAGGGAAGCCTAAGGCGATACCGAATGGTACGACTGATAAGGGTCAATCAGTCAAAAACTGTGACGAGGACTTACTTTCATCCACGTGGAATTCGTAGGGTCAAGCCGACTGTTCATTATTACTGTATCTTCTAAATGAGGCGAGAAGGCACCAGACATCAAAAGGACGTGACACCTACAGAAATAAAATCACACAGGAAGTTAATTGTTGCATTTGCTGACATTACTTAATCAATTATTTCTATTTTAATTCATTAATGCACTTGCGCGAAACAAAAGAGATTTTATAACTATGAAAAAGACATCGCGAAGGCATGGTATGCTTTCGATAACATTAAAATTCCCCCCCCCCGAGGATAGAGTTGTTGACAGCTACTTTTTCTCTTGCCCATTCGATGGGCCTCGTGTGAGACATTGTTTTTCAACATGAATGTGGCTACTTTGACAGAAACTTGATCGAACGCTGAAATGCGCAGTGTGATCAGATTTTTGCTCCCACGAGTACATGATCTGATTAAAATCATTGTCATCTTATAGAATCATACTGTACTTTATATTATAAAAGATGCTAGGCTTCTACAAATAGGCATCATGTGGCTTACCCCATCAGGCCACAGTCGTAGACAACAGAACGAATGATTTGGTGCATCGTTTCTAATGGGAAGTATTAGACAATTTTCCATGTAACTATATCTAACAGATAGTGATTTTCATTGGCTTGGGTCACTGATGAGTAATTTGGGTGGCAGGAGCAGACAAGAAAGGAACTTAGTCATAATTTAGGCAAAACTTATTAATTATTAAAAGCGATTATATTAGTATGTCCTAAGCACAAATCTTGCCTGCTGTTGTAAATTATGTTACGATTATCTTTCCATAGTTGTCCGAAGTATCACAAACTGTCTTAGGCAGCAGCTTTGAAACGATAGAAACTTTCTCATATTCACCTTAGACAATGTTACTACACTGTAAGATTGCTCTTTTGTTACGTCAGTGACTCCTAATCTACTGAAAAGAAATTATTTTCTTCGCGGCTTCTTTTCCCCACTACTCTAAGTAAATGATATTAGCCCTGGGGAGAACCTGACCTTGTTTGTCTATTATCTTTGATCCTAGCTATAAATCTTGCTAGTGAAGCATTACAGCTTCATAATCGCAAGTCATAATGATGCTCATCAAAATATTAATTTGAATCAGCAATTCACAATGTGGTATAAGCATCTGACGCTGACTTCCTCTATGCTGATTTATTTGTATTGTTGCACACTAGAACAATGCTTAAACAATTATGAAGACCATGTGGAAAAATAAGTTGTATGAAACGCTGCCTTTTATTTACAAATGTAAATATACACGCCTGCTCAAAAAAGTAAGCAACAAAGGCAAAACACGGAATAAAACAAAAGTTATTTAATGGAAGAAATTGATTCAAAGGGGTTTGTGGGGCATTACTAGATCACATAGCAAACAATAAACCGAACACATACAAAAACACATGTATTATAACCATCACATCGCGAAAGGCACACTGCTACCCGATGTCCGTTATTCCATGTCCGTTATTCCATTATAACATGTCCCACATATAATCTATGGGATTCAGGTCTGGTGATCTAACAGGCCACGGCAGATGTGAAACGGTTTCGCTCTCCAGATAACTCTGCACCGCTCGAGTTGTATGCGAGCTGGCGTTATCGTCCATAAATATCGTGTAATTACCCACTGCAGAGATAAAAAGACGTACAAAAGACTGCAGAATTTCATCGTGATATCGGACGCTTGTAACCGCCAGGAATCAGATCTGCCCTTCGTTGCCGTCTCAACCCATACAAGTAAGCTTCCGTCTCTATAATGGCCTCTTTCGACGATGAGTGGAGTTCGATAACGTGTCCCTGAATATCGCGCCATATCAATGGCCTTCGTTAATCGTTCTGGATGTTAAATCAAAACTCATTCATAAACAGTACGTGGTCCCACTACTCTGGTATCTAACTGCGATGCTCACGTGCTCAATTCAGCCACTCTCTGGCATGCGATGGAGACAAAGGAATACAAATCAGAGCTCTCCGGTCGTACAGTCTACCTTCCAGCAGTAGGCGCGATACAGTTTGGCGGGATAAGGGCTGTCCTGCAGCAGAGAAATGCGGCTCCAGCTGTTGTGCTATTAGTGATCTACGGCGTCTTGCATATACCAACAGCAAGCGATTGTCTGTCGTGGTAATCTTCCGGCGCGCAGACCCACATCTACTACAGTGGGTTTGATCCCTATGGCAACGATTCCACAGCCTATTGATGACACTACAATGAACATTCATCTCTCTCGCAATATCAGATTGTCTTGCACCAGCTTGCAAGTCTCCGAAAGCCCTCCAAAGCATTTCATCGTGCAAATGGTATCTTCGGCTCATGGTTTTCCGCTTTGGCTATCTCGGATTACACGGAATAATCGCGGCTTGTGAAATGACGCATAAATCCCACATGTTCCTTTTCAAGGCATTGTGGTGTGACAGCGGGATTACGTTTCATGCTAATTTTAGTTGCCTTTGCATTCGTTCATGCAACTTTGCATGCAATTGATTTACATGCAATTGAGAACATGTCTGTTCTTTCGGATGTTAATAATCTGGAGCCGTTGAGATTCGTACAGCGTTCAATATGGTCACACTTGACCAATCGGTTATACATTTACCATAATTTTCCCTCTGATTCTGCGAATATTGTTCTCAAAGTTTGTTTAAGTTGGCGAAATGGATTTTCTAGGAACCTTTTATCTTGTCTTCCTTAATTAATGGCAGTAAGAACAATCCAGTTCTTTTCAATGATTCGAAAACTCTAACAGCATTTTCCCCGTAATTCAAATGATTAACAACTTTTCTTCACACTTCATTACAATTTTAGTCGACAGCTGATGCTGTATCCGTTTTCTTTTTGCTCCATCCTTTGATTTTTTTATACATTTGTTGTTGCTTTTTTCACCTTTTAAAATACTTTGCTCATAAGGATAAGGGTACACTTTTTCAAATACTAAGCTCATAAGAAATAAGGACCAACATCAGATCGCTCTCGATATCGATAGAGTTTTGTTTAAATCTAAGCCAAATGAAAGTTGCTTTCTGTCTAATGTCATTATTTGATATGATTTAGCACATTTTTGTTACATTAAATCAGACAGGTTCTGAAATTTGAGCGCGTGGCTGATCGTATTTTCATATTATGGCTTAAATATTACAGTTGTCATGTTCAAAAGTTATGCTTTGGAAACATTTATCTAAATGTTTAAGAGAAGATTTAGATGTATAGCGATAAGGAGTTTCCATTTTGAATTCCCCGAAAATGAATCAGTTTTTGTAAAAGAAATGTCATCAATGGTATTCCAAAGTTTTTGGAGCATTATGCTACCGCGCATTTATGATTCACTCGAGCAAGAAATTTTTTCTACTCCATCAGTGTCAGGAAATCTTTCATTCTCCAACAGTTTTCATAGAGTTCACGTTTGACGTGGCAAATTGAGATTCTTTCAAGTTATATTGCTTAAAAAACTGAGAGATTTAAAACGTATAAAAGGACTTCTTAATAAATTTTAAATCTTAAAAAATTTTTGGAAATAATATGTCTAGTTTTTTATGATTTAAAATGCATTTAATTTATGAAACATCTGATTGATAATTATGAATATTTTCAGCAGGATTATAACTAACATAGGATATATCTAAAATCATATGTTAGATATCTGGAGAAGCATCTTTTTGAATCAAAACTTCAAATTTCAGAAGTGTATTTTCTTTTCATTCTTGAAGATTATAACTATCGTAATATTATTAGCTCTCTGAATTACCAATCAGAGAGCTAATAATAAATAAATAAATAAAACGGAGAAGTAAGTAAAATAAAATATAAAGGAGATTAATTTGTATTTTCACCTGAAATTCCTTACACTCGTCTTCTTCGATGGATCAGTTTCTCTGACAATTTGTAGGTCAGTACGTCTAAAAAAAGAAAAGGTGGGAAAAAATATATGATTACCTTATTTTTTGATAAACATTTTAAAATGCTATGGATAACAATGGAAAACTTCTATGAAAACGAATCAAGCTTTGTCATTCAAGGTAACAATGTAAGAATTCATTCTTTAAGAAAGAACTAGCAGCTTTAAATTCTTAATTATAATGAAATAAGGCTTTCTCATGCAAAATTACAATATAGTCATTAAGAATAAAATTACAACTAAAACTTCTTTCTACTGAATTAGACTAGGTCGTTAAAAATAGTAGCCTAATAATATATCCACAAGAAATAAAATGGTAGCCTTTTCTTAAAACTGGATAATGCTTAATCTCCCCCAAAATAGCAATGTGAGCATACATTCATTAAGATTGAAAATGGTAGCTAAAAATTCCTTGTAAAAATGATTTAGATGTAATTATTCAAAATAGCAGCGTAAGAATGCATTGATCAAAGTGAAATGGCAGCTAAAAATTCTTTGCAAAAGTAAATTAAGCTTAATCATCCAGCAAATCAGTGGAATGATATAGTAATTAGTAAGAATAAAATGGCAACCAATGTTTTTGGAAGGCGGGCAAAAGTTATGTAGGCTTAGCCATCTAAGAAAGCAGTGTAAGAATATAAAAAAGCATGCAAAGTTATTAATTTAGTTAAGAAATTTAACTGACTGAAGTTTTAGTTTCCCGTATTTGCTTACCGTATGAAGGAATCGATAAAAAGGGCGAGATTGTAAGGATTGAATTTGCTGAAATATTGCCTGAATTCTTGCATTAAATCATAACTCCGATTTTCTACTGTCTGTTAAAAAAAAGAAAAAAAAATATTTATACATTTCAACCTAAGTTTTTCGCAAAAGCAACACAAAAAAAATTCAATAATATATAAATATTATATATTTCATTTATACGAAGAAAGTACTCTTCTGACATTTTTAGCAAGCATTTAAATGAATAAAACAAATTTAAAAAATTCATTGATACCCGAGAAGTAGCGTTTTCCTGAATATCTTTTTATTATTTACTTTCAATACTGCTAAAATGCTAAAAAAAAAAAAAAAAAAAAAAAAAAAAAAAAAAGTACAAAAATTATATACTGTATCCGTTCATACCTTTTTAAAATGATACTTGATATATGCCTTTTTTAGTGAAATTAAAAAAATTAACAAATTTATTCCTGAAATTATTCCCGAATGAACTTAAATAAACCACGTAAACGGATTTGATGAAAAATCTTAATTTGCTGTTTTCTTTATCTAGTTTACCAGTTGTACAAGAGATGAAACTTTTGAAAACTTTTAACTTTTCTGCAAGTTGTGTTGGAAATGAGCGAATGAGAAACTTGAGAAGTTTTTGTTAGTTTTTCTCGCGTCAACAGTGTCGTTTTTTCTTAGACGTTTCTTCCGAAAAGATTATTCTGCACAAGGCACTTTTACATATTTTATTATCATGCAACTTCATTATTTTTGAACGCAAATTTCTATGTAAATACTAATGTAGTTCAAATTCTATCTGTTTGTTGAACAATGAAGGTTATCTCACAAGCTGATAGAATCAGGCGACGAATGAGAATATTGAACAGATTGTCGGTTCGGTTTTTATTTATTTATTTTCTTGCAAAACATGTAACAATTACTGCTACTTCATCTAAGTATATTCTTATCCAATTATTATAATGCTGCCTTTTTCTGAAATGTTATTTATTATTTTACTTTAGTAATCTTCTAACTGAATACCTTGGAAGATTTTTCAAGCGTTCTTGATTGGTTTATAAAAATTCTGAATTTTGCATATTCAGTATATCTGTTTGTAATAGCTTTATCATTCTTTGTTTGCACCTGTTATGCACTACAGATGTCAAAAAATGGCGATAAATTGCGCATAAATATTTAGGAACTTTTTATTTATTACTACTATTTTGCAATCCTGCTTTCCTGAAGAGTAATCCGCTGAACATTATAGCTGGAGAAATCAGACCAATCGAGTACATCATTATTTATCCACAAGGTTACAATATTAGAAATATCCTTTCAAAAGTTCTCTCAAAAATTTTGGAGGTTGATGTTAGGCTAATCTATCTTTATCACCCGACCTGGCAAGCAATGCAATTGCGGTAAACGTGAGATCTTTAATTTATGTTACAAGTAATTTTCCAAATAGTTATTCTCAGACTCTTATCTTCAACAAAACGTACTATTAATAATTTATCTTTCAATTTCAATCAGTCAGTAACTGTTTTAAAATTAAGCAGCGATTAAAAAGCAATAAATGCATTTCTTAGTAATACAAATCGTTATTTAAGAAATATTAATAGTTTATATAAATTAAACAGTTAAAATAAATAAAAATACAGATAATTTATGATATAATACATTAGTAATTTTTATTATACGCATTTTTATAATTAAAAAAATATGTTTCTTAAAAGTTTCACCTTTCCGAAGTGATGCCACATCAAATATTCTTGCGTAGATGAAGTCATCCCTGAACTCCTGAGATGCATCGTGTTTAATTTCTGGTAACCCCACTCTGTCCAACCTGCGGCTGTTGACGTGCAGTTGATGAGAAAAAGTCCATCTACACAGTGTGGATGTTGCAACTACATACAGAAGAAAAAATAAAAACGATATCAGTTTCCCAAGAAAATGAACCGAGTACCACAATAAGAAGTAAACCTATATTTCAAAAGTATAGTTAGAAGATATTTTATAATTATCTGAAGTAGATAAAAAATTTAAAATCAAACAGCCACACTTAAAAATCAATTTATGTACCACCAGAATAATTTTCTTAAAAATTCGATAAACTGTTGATGTGGAATTTTACCAGCTGAAATCAGATGTTTTCCACTTAAAATGTATATCGTGTTCTGACAAAACAGAAAATGTTTCTGTCTGAATAGAATGTTTTGGACTTTTCTGAATGGCAAGACAAGAAATGATAAAATCCTTTTCGATTTAAATGATCGATAAGTGGCTTCGCTCAAAGAAAATTATTTTTATTGTGTTAGATGTAAATTATAAAACTAGATATTAAACTTTGAATTGAATTTATTTGTGATATTTCTAGTTAAGTTCTTTTTTAATTATATAGCGTATCTACTCAAATTCATCACCTCTGAACCGTTTGGCATACCCAATAGATACTGCTCTTGTCTAGGAAGGAAGTACTGTGCGACAGGAGAATAAAAGTCAAGGATATAGCAACACGATTTGACCTACAGTGTCTCAAAAAAGTAATGGGACACTTGTGCTTTACAAAAGGAAACTGCAATAAAATAAATTTAAAAAAACATGTAAAATTTTTTGTGGGTGTGTTTCATACTTAAATTTAGTAACAATTATTACATAACATACATTTTCTCAAAATATTAAAATATTAATTTAATAAAAATACAATTGTTTATAACGGAGCAGAAAATGGCTCACTTAAGTGATGGGACACTACGTACTATGCAACAAAAACCGTCTGAAGTAAGCAATAAAAATATCTTTTGAGGTATTTATTTTTACTCAGAAGCAATTGTCAATAATTTATAAAATCGTCTGCAGTATTTCTCTCCAGTTTGTTTTGGAATTTTTGTGTTTTTTAGCTCTGTGCAGCCATGAATGCTAAACGAAAATAAACTTTGCCTGGAATTCGAAAATTAGTTATTAATTTGCCTATTGAACGTGGAAAATCTATTAGAGAAACTACTGAAACAGTTAACTTCACTCATTCAACAGTTTTCAATATCATTAAACGATATAAAAAGAATCATATGATTCAGAATAAAAGAAGACCTGGCCGACCATCAAAGCTATCCAATGGAATAAAGCGAATTATCGTTCGAAATATTTAAAAAAAATGCAAGAATGAGTGCTCCTAAAATTGCTGCTGATTTACAAGCATTATATGGAGTAATTGTTAATTCTGAGACTATTAGAAGAGTAATTCGATCTACTGGATATCCCGGTAGAGCCAGGAAAAAATTCTTCGTAAGTGAAAAGAATAGAAAACTCAGACTGGCTTTCGCAAAATCCAACATAAATAGAATTCTGATTACTGGAATGAAGTTATATTTGCTGATGAGAGTAAATTTAATATATTTGGTTCTGACGGTAGAATCTTGGTGTGGAGAAAAGTCAGGGAAGAATTTCGCAAGCAGAACTTGGTGCCAACAGTAAAACATGGTGGAGGAGGAGTTATGGTATGGGGGTGTATGTCGTCCGCTGGAGTTGGTAATCTTGTTTTTATTGACAGTATAATGGATCAGTACAAGTATATTGACATTTTAAATCAAAATTTGAAATCTTCAGCACGAAAATTGAAAAAAATTGTATTTTTACTAAATTAATATTTTAATATTTTGAGAAAATGTATGTTATGTAATAATTGTTACTAAATTTAAGTATGAAACACACCCACAAAAAATTTTACATGTTTTTTAAATTTATTTTATTGCAGTTTCCTTTTGCAAAGCACAAGTGTCCCATCACTTTTGTGAGACACTGTATCTAAAACAGCTGTTTTAAGAATTCTACATCCCCATCCTACCATAAATAAAGTTTCTGCAAGATGGGTACCTTCACTTGTTAGGCAATTCAAAAAAATCTGATGTGTACACCACATGACTTCCTTGTACAGAATATTAAATTATACGCATTTTTTCTTGCATTTCATTTAAAATTATTGGATTGAATTAAATCTACTTCGCCGACAGCACAATAGAATAAAGGCATTCTTTAAAATTCACTATAGTATTTGTTTACCATAGCGACGCTCTGGCGCTAGATTCATTTAACAGTATTATATTTCGTTCATATTATAACTCAGAATGCTCAAAAGTTATATCCTTTAAAGAATAGAATTATTTATTAATTATAGAATTTAAAGAATAGAATTTACTAAAGGCATAAAAACCTTAACCCGAATATAAAAACAACATAATTCAATCATTTTTAAAGGAAAAAATGTACAATTTACAAATATATAAGAGTAAAGAAACTGAGATCACTGAGCCGGGTAACAGAGTGGATATATATGTGATGTACCAGCTTTTTTTCCGGAATAAATAGATTGGTGAAGAATCATAGATGTAGTCGTAGCTTAAATTATCAGACGATAAGTTTAAAAAAACAGGATCTATTTATTATATTTCAGGGGAAATAGCAATTACAAAAATCTGATCTCCGGAGTAAATAAAAAAGAATTACTAATAACTTTTTGTATGAAGTTTACTGCATCGTGACATTTAAGAAAAGACCCCGATATTCCTTTGCGAGTCTTTTTATAGCTTCTGCAAAGGCGGAGCTTCAAAGAAATGACGTCAGCCTCGTCTGCCAATCCAGTTCGCTTTAAATATTTCCAGAACATTCTATAACTGTACGTGTAGAAAACGCGGGAAAAACAACTTGACTACGGGGCTGTGAATTTAATTCCACGTACTTTCAAATAAGAGACCGTCGCCATTAAAAATGAAAAGAACATACAGTTAGAATTTTAAGTGTATTCTTGACTATGGAATTTTATTATTACAAATATATAAATATATTTATATACGTTTGGTGCGGCCGATTGCAAACCAAAATACGAGGTGCACATCTACATGTTATAGCAGTCCTATATACAAAATTTCAACGTTCTGAGGCTACTCGTTTTTGAGTTATGCGAGATACGTACGTACGTACATACGTTCGTACAGACGCCACGAAAAATTCTCTTCAGATTAATTTTAAAGCAGTTTTATAATTTTTTTGGAGGAAACGAGTCTTTTATTCTGTCCTTACGTACAGATATCACGCAAAAACATCGTTAAATTGCATTCAATAGCGGTCAAAATGGATATTTTCGTTGAAATAGGCTGCTTGAAACATTTCGTGATTACAATACTTCGTTTTTACTTCGTACAAGGAAGTAAAAAGCAGCGTGTCAGTACTGGGTTTTAAAAGTCTGATTTAGTCCCTTATAGCACAGACTTAGCTTCAGATGATTATTATCTGTTCTTCAAATTGATATCTGACCTTCGTGAAAAGAAATTTAATGGTAACGATTCGTGAAAGTGTAACTATGAAATATTTTGAGGGCAAGATATAGATTTGGCAGAGTTGCTCGTTAAACAATGTGAAACATATCTTTTAATACAAGAAGGTAATAAAAAACTCATAAAAATCATAAAACATAAACTGCAATTTGCTTTATTTCAGTTAGATGTATGATCCGAAAATTTGAGTTTACCTACCTATTCTGCGTATATCATCTACTCGCATTGGAAAGCGTTGCTTTTGAAGTAACGAAAGGTTTAATTTATCTTTTACGTGGTTCGGAAATTCCGAAAAATTTAAGATCTTTAGTTCTTTCAAACTTAATCAATATGCAACGATCTCGACACAAGTCCTAACGCCTTTATTTAGATCCCACCTTTATATTTTGGGGCAAAACTGCAGAAAAATACCAAAAATATTAGAAACTTACATTACCCTTTAATAATAATAAAAAGATAATGAAAACTGCAATCTATTCTATATTATAATACAATTTCATCAACAGCCTATTTATTTTGGGTGTTTATGATAGTGTACGCAAGAAGTAAGAATTAGAAATTTTACATTAGAGTTAGAAATTTTGCATTAAAATGTGAGAAACCTGTTTTATTTGTGATGCTTTTTCACGAAATATTTTCAAGAAAAAGAGGTGAATGGACTTTCTAAAACGTCTAACTTTTTTTATGCTGATGAGCAAAGGACTTTTATCAAAAAATCAAAGATAAACGAAAGATCCTTCCTATTGTCGACAGGTAAGAACGTCTGTTTCTAAGACGGAGAATCTCATGACTAACTGAAAAATAATTAAATCATAACTAATACTTCTTCAAAGAAGAATAGCTTAATACTGATTTGTTTAATTATATGTGAATTTCTAATTTAGTTTGCATAGACTATCAAGTTTCTCTGAGTTTGAAAACATGAGAAAGTAGTTGTATGCTCGCCAGGCTTGCATCCACGAATCTTATAGTTGCAAGCTGAATGTGTTAATCACTCACACCAGCAGAGAGGTATTGCGATGATTCCTTACGTTCTCCTTTCCTTTAAACGACTAATGGAAACAGACACGTTATTCAGTCAACCAAGTTAAGGTTGTGACGAGTTGTTGTCCACTAAATATTAGTTCATGCGACGCTGTACAGATTATTAAGTTTTCTGAATATGTATTGTTTAAATTATGGAAAAGCATTCAGGGTCTGTCTGAGTAAGGGAAGGGAGGCCTTCATGGAGAACGTTTCAGGTAAACTGGGACTTTTATTCACATTACACATGAAGAAAACATAAAATCCGCAGGCAATGAGACGAGATTTTAAGTCGGGTTTTGAACTGCAGATTTTCTAATTGTCGAGTGGTGACAACTTGCTGCCCACTTACGTCATGAGAATATAGGCACGGAGGAATAATTCCTTACAGCTTGAACTTTAAACTTATTTGGAAGAAGTAAAAAGGAAGTATTTTATGATAAATCACCTTCTAAAATTATTACTCGACTGTCGAAAATTTTTTGGAACTGCCGAATAAAGATATATTCATTGAATTTCAAATCCAGGGAAGAAGCTGCTTTTCACAGCGCCGTGAATATATGCATTTTAAATGTATCTGGTCATTCAAAAAACGTATTTTGAGCTTCAATCTATTATTTTAAGCTGTTACCTACGTTACTAGAAAACTAAAGTCATAGATAAAAATTTCGAGGTCTATATGTCGTTGCAAAATTTTCATCTTTTGATAATTAGATATTCTTTCAGCTGCTTTGTTAATTTAAGAATCTGTCTGTGACTTTAGATGTTTATTCTAGTTGCAACGAAATATGGAGTAAGATATTAAAGCAAGATTAAAATGCTCTCAATATCCGAATACCTGGAGCAGGTTAATGAAGTTGAAGATTAATCTGGCCCTGTCTAAGAGCCGAATTAGATATATTAAATAATTCGTTTTTTTTTTTTTTGAAAAACCATCAAAAGTTACTATCCCCAAATATTAGCATAAATAAAACTACTTATAGAAAATACCAAAGCAAAAAAAAAAAAAAAAAAAAAAAATAATGCGTGAGATAATGGCAGTGATAAAAGATCATGTCAGAGTATTTGGCAGTTGTTTTTCTAAGTAGTCGATGTAATTTTATGTAATCCGAAATACATCAGCATTACTAAATCAGTCGTCTAAAATAAATTGCTCTCTTAAAAGTAAATCAATTGTTTAGTCATTCATCTTCTGTTTCACATTGACTTACATCGAAATGCTAGAGTAACGCGACGAAAACAACATTTGCACCGTCAAATGAAGAAGGAATACAGACAGAGAGAGAAAGAACCTAGAGGATAAGAGGGCACATGCATGCGCTCGAGAGACAGAGAGAAGAAAAAGAAAGAACTTTGAATACTGATTTAATTTACATAACACAATAAACTCCCTCTCCAGACTAAAGGGCCTGAAAATAAAAGAAAATTCCTGACAGTATTTTCCCTTTTAATTATCTTAATGCATTATTTACCGTTCCTGTGTTTTTTTAACTGCTTTCAGATTTTGATTTACGTTGTTCCCATATTTATCCAGTTAGTCGGGAGTTGATTGTGAATTCTTGGGTAAGATATTAATTCCATTAGTAAAATTTTAACTCCATTAATAACGAAATTTGCTGCATCAGAAATTGTACCTTTCTTCGGAAAACTCACAACTTTCCATCTCTGTTCAAGTACCAATCTGAAAACCTTAAATATCTTGAGTAGGTATTACTTTTTTTTACTAAGGATAAAATCCTGTAAGTTAAGAACATGGCAGCACCTTTCTACTATTGACAATGCGTAAGATCTATTATTTATCTTCGATACTGTAGAAGTGAATTATTCATTAGCGTAAAAGTGTATCCTTTAAAAAGTTATTTCATTGGTATTATTAGCCCCTTAACAACATTTTGCATGAAAGTGTTGTTCATTTATTCTATTAAGGCTGATAAATAAAATATGTTTCTAATGCCGTATAAGATATCGACTGAAAAATGTACAGCTTTATTTTCTTTTTGTCTTCCTCTCTTTCATTTTTTTAGTATATTATTATCTACACAGAAAATAAAATTGAACGGTAATAGCGACTAAGCTTTGTAGTAATGAACAGATTGCATGTACATGTAACTTTCATTCTACTTTTATTTTAAAATTTGTTCAAACGGTATTATTCTCTATTTTAATATTTTGGCACTTTATAGCTTATACCAATTTACAATATAAAAAAGAAATGCAAAAAAGTAATAGCTATCAAAATCGAAATTGAAATTCTTCAACTGAGTTAAAATTTTATTAAATAATAAAATTTAGTTTTATGCTTTGGTAACAGTGCATATTATTTTTTATTACGGGATCGGGTATATTTAATCAGACCCCCCAAAATGGGAAACAATTCTTCTTTTGAATTAAAATACCATTTCTTTGAAGCATTTTAAAATAATTCCCACATAACAATGTACTCTATAACCTATATAGTATGAAATAATAGTTCTATATAGTATGAAAAAATAGTTCTAAGCATTTGCCAGACGGTCTGTTTACGTTTGCATTTGAGAAAAGTTCTCATAATACATCCTCTGACTTATGCACAAAATGCTTCTACCTATAATTTAATATAAATATATAAGTACACATGATTGAAAAGTTCACTTATTAGCCTACCTATCCATAGTCCGCTGACCTTTCACCTGCGAGTTCTTGTGCCTTTGGTCTCTCCCAAAGAGACCAAAGGAACAATAGTTCGCAGATTCACAGTAGTGCTCAAATACTAAGAGCTCTTTCTAAGCGAAAATCCACCACTATTAATGAATTCTGGAAAGTTGTGGAAGAGTAGTGGAAATCAATATCCCTGAAAATTTTATGAAAAGCTTTTCTATGAAATCACTACGAATGAATGATGAAATCACTACGAATGAATGAATGATGAATTTCGATAGAGTAAGCGATATTATTTCTTATTTCTATGAAATCACTTACTCTATCGAAATCACTACGAAGACCAGAAAAAAGGCTAACACGTCGAACATTTTAAAAAGTACTCTTTGAATTTTAAACGATTAATTAAATGACCCGCAAATAGTTCTAGGAATGCGTAATCACTCTCTGAAATTATACCTTTAAGTGATGATTTCACAAAACTACAATTTTCTTAATCCCTTGCATGATTTGCTTAAAATTACTGGCCAGAATTTCAAGAAACTTTTGTAGAGACATTAGGTATTTTGGGAAGCAGGCAAGATGAAAAATTAGCAACGCCTTCGGCGGGAATCGAGCCTCGGACCTCTGGAATACGGGCCAAGCGTGCAGATCACCACACCAGGAAAGCATGCCAAGAAGGCAGGAGAAATACCTTATACTTTGACCAATAGTGTAAATTCTATGAAAATATCAGATGAACAATTATTATGTTTCTCGTAAATTTTATAAAATATCTTCAAATTTTTTTGTTAAAAATAGTCAATCTTGGGGTCTCAAAAAAGTTTTTTAAATTTTTATTTTTTAAGAAAATATAATTCGATTATTTTTTAAATACGTCTTCTTAATTAGGCTTTATTTTTCTAATTCCGATAAAAAAACCATGTAAAAGTAGCAAACATGTTTATCCTTAATGCTGCGCGCAGTAAATATTACAATTTTATTTCGAAAAAGAAGAAAAACATTTTTATTTATTTAAAATAATTTAATATCTGGAGCATACAGCAAAAAAGCAAATGCAATAACAAACGTATCGAAATAAGTATATAAAATTTTACAATCGTAATAAGTCAGATATAAAAACATTAAATTTAAAAATGTGCTATGTTTTGGCATATTTCTACCTTTTAAAGGTACCTTTAGAAAAGAGAAAGATCCTTAAGAAAAGAGGCGATATATTTGTTTGACGTTTTATATTTTTTGCTTTTTTAGATATATTTAAAATTCTGAAGCAAACTTTGTTGGTAAACTCTTCTTTCAGGTGTTAGGTTACAATCTGAAGCATACAGATTACGAATTAATTTTCTGTTTTTCAGATGACCCCAAAACGTGTAATTCGAATTTTTAGTGCAATGCATGACTTGACAACGCAATGCAGGTAATAATAACAGATTACAAATTAATTTTCTGTTTTTCAGATGACCCCAAAACGTGTAATTCGAATTTTTAGTGCAACGCAATGCAGGTAATAATAAGCTAATTAAACAGGAGTTTAACAGATGTGCAATAATGCGTATAAGGAATAAAAACTTACTGCGAAACGGCTAAGAATATTTGCTCCGGCTCCAACGCCCATTCCGATGAAATGCTTAATCCTGTAAAGTAAGAGAGTTCAAGAGTTATAGAAATACAAAGTAAGAGAGTTATAGAAATATTTTCATTTAATAAAAAATAACTATCACAAAAAGTGTGTGTAGTTGTGCATCTCGCATAGCGAAAGGAATCCCTTTCGGGATGGGGTTCATTATACGAGACACTGTCTCCCATAGGTTACCTGGACCAAAATCACAAAAAATAGTAGAAAATTTCAAGGCGTTTTAAATACCATCAATAATCAAAATGTTAATAAATTAATAAATTTATTTTCTCGTAACCAAAAAGGAAATGCTTAACTGTAAGAAATGCTAAAAATAAATTTACTAATTTATTCATAGTATTCCAGTCTTTTCTTCCAAGAGATCTAATTCACTAATTATAAAAATATTTGCATTATATAAATATAGATATAGATAGATAGATATTTCGGGTGATCCGAATGTAACAGAAAAAATAAAAATTCGAAAATTACTAGGCTAGTAGTACGATGCGGTTTTCACAGAAGTGCACAGAAAGACACTAGGTTATTTTACGACATTTTTCTTCGACAGATAGCTGTTCTAGAAAACTGGAATTTCACATAAAATTATGTGATGAACTATAGGATAATCCTCAAGATCTATCCTATACACTCCAAGTCTTACAGGAACTTAAACCAACTCATTTCGAGAGATGCCATGAATTCGAAAATTGTACTTTTCATCAAATGGAAAACAATGCGTACTGATTATCAGATGTCTTGAAGACTGGCAAGGCGCAGTTTCTCTTAATGGAAACGTAAATTCACGCAAATTGCCCATCTGAGCGAAAGAGAAAAAGCATATGATCTTGGAAGCCTCTTTGCATCAGCCAAAGATGACAGCGTGGATGACTGCGTCCCTCATAATAGGCTCAATTTTTTGAAAAAGTCCACAGAGGTATATTTCGAACTCTTTCTATCACAGCCCAGTGTTATGCAGCGCTTTCAGAAGAGAACATCAGTTCCTATTTGCAAGAAAAGCAGATGCCTCGTAGGATGACATTCATGCAGGAAGGAGCGCCTTCAACTAATCCTATCGAGAACTTGCTGTGATCGGCATTTGACGATGACTATGCTCTCAGCTGCACTTTCGCACACGAATGGTCACCAAGTTCTCCAGACTTACAGTTTTTTATTATGAGGCTGCCTGAAGTCAGGTGTATGGATGATGTTCGACGTTAGTGGGTAAATTGAAAGAAGTCATCCGCCATCGTGTGACAGAAATTACAGCGAAACCTTCTTCGATGATGTGCAGAATGTCATGCCACATTTGATGGCCATTCTTATGAATGACGGCCATTGAACTTTTTTTTCATTATTATTAAAATAATTTCATGTCCTTCTGTGAAAACCGCATTATGGTACTGTTGCGCTGCTTTCAAACCATTGAATTTTTACATTTGTTATTATATTTGGATTTCTCAGTGTAATATATGCATGATAGAATTTAGGTGATTATGATAGCTGGGTGAATACAACAAAGATGCAGTCATGACCAATTAAACACTATTCTTTATTTAAGAGACAGAAATAATTATGTATATCTAAATTGGCACAAGAGGCTATTATTCTATATTTTAATCATCGTTTATATATTCCTGGCTTTACAATGGTGACGAAGCTAAATAGCGGACTGCGTACCAGCTAAACATACGGGAGAATGAAAAAAGCAGGATCACGTTATTGATGTTAAATTAAGAATGATGAAATCACTAGATTTCTCAGTGGAGTAGTGTCGTGTTACTGTTGTCAGTTAATAAATTTTTTCGTCTGAATTGTTTCAGTAGTATTAGGTAAAATACTTCAATTTCACCCTTTCCATTATGTAAGTATGGATACCATTTTGTCATTATATAAGAATCATATGACATAGTTAAATTTGAAATGGCGCATTTCCGTGAGATTTACTATGTGAATATTACTATTTTAGAATAGCAGGAAGAAGAACAAAATTAAAAAGAATATTTTATGGGCTATTAACAAACTTAGAGTTTTTTCGCATATATTCCTTATCTTACATATATATATTTTCAATCTGACAATTTTTGTGTATGTTTAACCTGAGTCTTCTCATATTTCCGTTTGAGGTCGAAGCTGTTCTTTGTCTTCTTGCCCAGCTGCTTTTAATTTTGTGTGAGGTCCATATTTTAAGAAGTTGTATGAAGTTATTTTCTCTTCTTTAATATGATCCTGACGCAATTCATTGAACAGATGGACCATTACTATTCACCTCATCTTACTGAGATGCCACTTCTTGGCTCTGATCTTGGACTTCTTCCCACTTCTACTGAAATGATTTTTCGCTTTAAGAAATATGAGGTCAATAAAATTTCCATTTTCTCGGAATGTCCTTGATAGTTTCGACTCACATGAACTTTTAATGTTTGTAGAGTTTCTCTTATAACTGGAAGTTAAAATCATGCAGACCCAACTAAAGTTAGCGCTATGTCTTAGACAACTCACAAAATACTGAAGAAGCTTAAAATAACCTTTATATTTAGTGTAACAAAACAGGCATAACTTGTGCTACAGGAGAAACTTTCATCATTTCTGGGTATTTAAATTGACATGTCGAAGTTAAATTCAAACATAGAAACGTAGTCTAAGACTACAGATAAAAAAGGCAATTTAAGCTGGATCAAGCATATCAACGTCCTGTGTTTTAAAACATCCGCTAGAGAGATGTTAAAGCTAAAATATAACTTTTAAGCTAGCTTTAAGGAGAGCTGGCGAGAATGTTAAGAGCAAGAAACACTAAACTAAAGATTAAAACCCCTCAGCTAAAATGCACACAAACCTGACTTTCATTCTGGTGAGGAATACGGAAAGAAGTTATAGTGCAGATTTAAGCACAATACCGGTTAATTAACGTAAGATACGTTACATATTCTCCGCCTCCTGGCTGAAGGAAGCTTTCCTCGTCTGTGAACTTCAAATTTTTCTTAGTTTTGCATTACTTATAGTTATTCCATAGTAATATAGTAATATTAAGAAATATGTTTATTTGCCCGCCTTTTTCATTCTTTACCTTTATTTCTGATCAGACCTTTTTATATTTACTCTCTGTTAGAACACAAAGCAAAACAAATTTGGCTTTGCGTTTATTATGTGACGAAGTTTGGGTGCAGTTCGTTATGGGTGATCCAACTCATTCTCCATTCCGTGCGAATAAGTTTTTTAAATATTCAATTACTTTACACCGAGCCAATTTTCTTTTAATCTAGCGTATAGTAACAATAAACTATTTAAAGGTACTTTTCTTTTCTTCAAAATTTGATCTAGATTTTGTCTTATGTTTAATCTTGAACCGAATTCTTACGAATGTTTCTGCAGATATCTTCTTTTTAACGATCAAAACTAACCATTGCAGCGTTATGCTTTGCACTTTTGGGCAGATCTGAAAATAATCTTTCAGATGAAGCCTATGCCAAATCTTTAATTCTCTAGTTTCTGCTGCTCTTTGTATATGTAATGCGCTATTTCCAATTAGTTAAAATTTCTGTATAAAATTCAATATTTTAAAATACTGATGGCTTACAAAATTGACTCTTCCCTTTGTTTTGAAATGAAGTTATAACAAAACTAGGAATTAAGATGTTTTGTCTAATCTTTTAATGTACAGGTTAAAAGAGTTGCATTAGCTCTTATTTTTATATTAAAGTTAAAGAGCTGCATTACCTTAGATTATGTTGTTGTAACTTATGTTCACTTGTCTGATGTAGTCAGCCCAAGCCCACGAAATTCTGCTTAGATTATTCCTTCATATAAAACATGAAATAAACTGTCAGACACAAAATAACTCTAACATATGCCTAATTATAGCTTAGTACTTTAAAATAAGAACTTCACGGTTACATTTCGCCCCTTGATTTGACTCGCAACCATGGGAATTACAACTGCGAAAAAAAGGTCAACTAGCTTAATTTCCCTCCCCCCCCACATACACTCATAATTTCAATTCAGCGTATTTCTCTTCATGACAAGCGCGGAAATGTTGAATGACTTAAATTACAGTCTTAAATGACATGGAGAAAATAAATTTTGTGTGTTGATGACAACACAAGTTACAATCGCAAATGGGTGGGATGGCATTTCCTTGAACAGCCTGTTTTAAAATAATAGCCTGAAGTTATGACAAAATTTATGGAAAATAATAAAATGTTTTTATGTTTTCAACTTTACGAGCAGAAATGAACAGAAATCTTATTTTCATATTTACCCATAGTGCTCCATTACGGCAAGAATCATTTCTGCTAGCATGTCCATTGTAGGGAAGGTGAACCTAGATGATGCAGAAGAAAAAAGAGAATTAATTTAAAATTTGCTTATGTGGTCATCCATAGCTTTTACATTAAAAAGCATTCTTCCTCTCCCTTTCGCTTTCTATTAAAAACCTGCGAAAGTACTCAAAGTGGCTTTCCCAGGGTACTAAAAACCATCAGCGATAAAATGCTAAAATACAGGTAAAATACAGAATAATAAGTAGGTAAAATATAGAAGTAGAAATAGAACTTACAAAAATTACGAACAAAATGTTAAAATGCTTCAAAGATAGTTTCATGCGATCTTATCGAAAATTCCAATCTTGCTCAAGGCAGTTTGTAATCATGTTCGAACGGAAAACACCTGCTCCAGTGTCTAGAGGGTAATCTGGTAACCATTAAGACTCTTGTTTCAAAATGTTTAGCGGTTTTGAAAATTACAAATGAAAGAACTTTGATTTTGATTGTTGCATTAAAGGAAAAATAAAAGAAATTTGATTTTGAAGGTTGCATTACAGAAAATACATTGAGTTAGTTCGGTGCAAAGGCTCTCCGTCGATTCATTGCCAGATATGGAATTCACTTAGAACGATGAGTTCCATATAAATCAGTGAAAGTACGATTTCAATCCTATAATAGGATGGCATTCACTCTAGAAAGAGTCTATTTTGGAAATCAGCTAAATATTCTAGTAGAACTTTAAGGCTCATAAACAGATTTTTATGAATAAAGCTTTTCCAAACTTCAGAGTTGCATAAAGCATCCATACTTCAGGGTGAGTTGGACACTTTTTTCAGTTGGCACACAACACTTTCCTTAAGCATGTTTTCACCTGAGAATTGCTTTTTTGCGGAGAATTCTTAGAACAGTCTACGTCAGCGGTTCTCAGCCTTTTGACTATGATGGTACCATCTAAACAAAAACTGAAAAACTTTAGTACCACCACTACATTTTACAATGATTATTTTTCAATTTCTCAATAGAAATATTTTAAAAAATATATAGCCATTTGCACAACCTATTAGATATTTGTATTAAATATGCACACATAAAAGATTATTAGATTAAAAATTGGTTGCCCTTCTAAATAGTAAAATAAGTTATAATACTTAAATTCTAAAATTTAGTATGAAATTTGGACCTGTTTAAGAGAGATCAATTTATATCTGGTCTTATTTCACTTAGTTTTAAACGTAAATTAGGATCCACTTTTAATTCTGTTTGGTATTATATTTTAAATATAACATGGAAGAAAATCCTTGTTCACACAAATATGTTGTGCAAGAAGGCAATAAAAATTAAATATCTTTATTAGAAATACCTTTAAATTCTTTTTATCGGTTCAGGCAAAAGCTAACAAGTGTGTTATTTTTGAAATCTTCAGTTAAGAGTTCGATCACAGGAAATTTCTATCAATTGTTCTTTTCTTCACGATTTTTGAATTTAATAGTTATAAGTACTTTGCTTCTTTGCGTACCACCAATTTTTCTCTTACGTACCACCAGTGGTACGCGTACCGCCGGTTGAGAATCTCTGGTCTAGCTATTAGGGATGAAACTTGGATTCTCTATCAGAATATTAAAAGGTCTTCTTCGAGCTATAATAAACACATAATGGCACCAAGTTCGGTCTCCTAACGAAGGAAATTTTAATCCCAATTTGGCGGGAATGGAAGAGCATAATTTATTATGAACTGCTTTTGCAAGGTGAAACAATTAATTCAAAGATATACTAGACAAACTGAAGGAAGAAATGAAGGAGTAGACCTCCTACGTTAAATGAACAGGCGAGAGGTTGTTTAATAGTACGATGAAATCAAGGGAAACAAACTTTTGCGTTAAAAAACTTAATTTACCATTATCTTGAAAAGAATAATAATTATCAACACTATTTCAAACGAAGATATATCTTTAATAAAGGATAGAGAAATTTTCCTGATTACTTACGCTGTCGGTAATGTTGTTGAGTCTTCTTCTTGACCTGGAGCGTTTATATGATATACACAAAAACTTTGCATCAACACTCTCGTGTCTGGATGATTGAAGAAAGCGAGGAAATTGGTTACATCTTTAAAAGAAAAGAAAGAAATCTAAGAAATTTATCCCTTAGAAAGTCATTTTATTTTCGATTTCATAACAGGCCTTTATAATAAGGGTAATTTTAGGAGAGTTATAAATAAAATAGATTTAAAACATTTGTAATAAATTAAACGTAATTCTTCTTATTTGTATTACACTCCGATATCTCAGATGAAGTTGTCTTATAGTTTGTTCTTTCTTCACCTTATAAATTTTTCTCACTCCGTGGCGTATGTTTGTAACAAAATTTAACATCGCTTTCTTTAACCTAATGTTTAACCCAGATTTCTTCTTTGACCATATATTGTTCATTATAGAAAATAATGTTTTAACAGGCGCTGCTCTTGAATTTCGGGGCCGAGAAGCTCTATAATGCAGTAGGTGCTACTTAACCCTTACCGTCCCTAAACTTCGAACTGAAGTTTTTGAGCGTTTTAGGTAATTTACCAAATTTTAAGGGTTTTTTTTCTCAAAAATAAAATGAAATAATTTGATTACTAATATATATATATATATTTATCAAAATTAAATTATTTAATTATTAATATATGTAGAATAGAGGAATTTTAATATGAATAAGAATACGAATTTTAATTCTTGTTGCCAACTCTAAGAAAGCATTTTCTATAAATCTAAATATAATTAAACTACATATTACTCTGATTTTTTTTGCTAAGCCGATTATTTATTTTTTTGTCAATTCCTACATATATATATAAATTAGCAGCTACGCGGCCAGCCTTCGTCTGGCTTTTAAATGTACCAGTAAAATGATAAGCATTAAATTTAAAAACATTAAATTAAATTTAAAAACTGCGAAAAATTTTCTCTTCAAAACAACTTCATAAACAAATACAACTTTTTTAAAAAAAATGTATTACATATAACAAAATTACAATGAAATAAGCAATATTCCTTAATACAAATGTTAATTATCCTAATAAATAAATTAATCAACTTCCCGTTACCTTCTCTCAACAAATGTCCAGTATCCAAGAGAAACATTAAATTTAAAAACTGCACAGAATTATCGCCCTCATTTTTCCAAGTGGCAACAGTGCTAATTTTCAGCAGTCAACAGTCCAATATACAATTGAATGAAAAACTGTTGCCAAAACCACATTTCTAAAAGAATGAAACTAGTCAAAATGATGCTATAAAATCGAAAAGATAAAATTTAAAAAAATCTGATTCGAATTTTGAAAAAAAAAAAATCGCTTCGAGGTGCACTGGCTCTTGTCTAAATGCACCTATATACCGAATTTCGTAGCCCTGGGTCTATTAGCTTACGCGCAGCACGAACGAACGGAACACATACTCTTTCTTTTATTACATGTAGAGTTTAATCAAAATTAATTAAATTAGTTTTTTAACAATCATGCGTTTTCTAATAATAATGGATTATTAAATCTAAAGACATTATCATTCACTGATAACAGCCCCCGATTTTTATTCACGAGATGGGATTTCTAAATGAAACAGAAACATAAATGTGTTAAATGTAATCTTATGACATCGAGTAGATAAGTAGAGCTTTAGAAAAGATGATAGCTTGCGTGCATCACTACTGTGCTGAATAAAAAGAGTAATTCTGTTAGCTCTGAAGTAGTGAATTTCCTTATCTTCTGTCTTGATAGACTAAGAAGGATAAAATAAAATATATAACGAGACTTCATAAATTCCAGGATTTTAGTTCAATCCAATTAAAAAAATATAATTTTTACAACCATCACAATATTCTTCAAGGTACACGACTAAAAAGAAAATCGTCATGAGCCCGTATAAAAATTGTATTATGACATTAACAGAATTCTAAGAAACAATAGGCATGATAGCTTGAAAATGGCACATATAAGAATAACTGCGTTCATTTCATTAACATTTTTGTTTGATAAATCTGATTTAAGCTTTGTCTTTATTAGTGTGACATACGTATTATTTTCAGGTGAGTTTGACCAAGAATATTACGATAAAAAATATATTTACTGCTTTCAAATAGTTCATTTGGTTAGTACGATAAGAAGACTGATTTTAAAGACGAATAGATTATGTAAAAGGAAAATTCTAATTTACATGGTTTTAATTAAATGCATTAGAAGAAAAAAATCAGTGAACCTAATATTTTTGGCCATATGGGACCAGTGAATGGAGTACCTTAAAATTATGAAGACGAAATTCAAAGTAATGGAATATAATCATTCTTATGTATGACATTATCGTGTTTGCACTTCTTTCTTGTTTGAAGTTCTATTAATGTATGAGCGCATTATTTTAAGGCGTTCCTTAGCTTTATTTTGAATCAAATGTGATTGAAAAACTAAGTTTTTTTTTTTTTTTTTTTTAACTTTTGATTGCATTTTACTAAAAACGTGTAATAAATTTCTTTTATATAATTTACATATTTATTTTAATTAAAAAACTTTCTCTTTTTACTTCCTTGTACGAAGTAAAAAGGAAGTATTGGTAATCGCGAAAAGTTTCAGGCAGCATATTTCAACGAAAATATCCATTTTGACCTCTATCGAATGCAATTTAACGATGTTTTTGCGTAACATCTGTACGTAAGGACAGAATAAAAGACTCGTTTCCTCCAAAAAAATTATAAAACTGATTTAAAATTAATTCTGAAGAGAATTTTTCGTGGCGTCTGTATGAACGTACGTACGTACGTATCTCGCATAACTCAAAAACGAGTAGCCTCAGAACGTTGAAATTTTGTATATAGGACTGCTATAACATGTAAATGTGCACCTCGTATTTTGGTTGCAATCGGCCGCACCAAAACGTATATAAATATATTTATATATATGTCCACTCTGTTACTCAGCATAGTGATCTCAGTTTCTTTACTCTTATATGTTTGTAAATTATACATTTTTTGCTTTAAAAATAACTGAATTATGTTGTTCTTATCTTCCGGTTAAGGTTTTTATGCCTTTCGTAAATCTGGAAGCATTATTTGTACAACTATCAAGAATTTAAAAGCTGTTTAATTGCGGTTAAGTTTAAAAAACATGGCGAACATATTTGTTTACATTTGAAACAGCAGAATAGTAGATTTGTTGCCAATCTAGAGAGACTAAGCTTCGCAACAACAAAAATAACGCCTTCATTTATTATTGCGAATTAAATCATGCTTAATCCTTTCTGGAATTTTTTCGAGAAATTAAGTGTTTAAGATTTATTTCGTAATTCTGTCCTTACTTACAGATTACTCTTATTCTGTCCTTACGTACAGATTACTCTTATTCTGTCCTTACGTACAGATGTTTTGAGTTTTTATGTATTTTTGCCTTGTCGCGAAGTGAGAACTGAAATAATGGAATGAGAAGTACTCAATCGTCTGTGAAAAACTTTCTTTTTTGTTTTGTTTGCATAATTTATTTTATACATCGTTCTAGCTTTAATAGTATTTGAATAGAACTTGTGGTTATGGTAAGATAATTCTTCAAATGATATAAATTTTGTCATTCTGAGTTATAATATGAACGAAATATTAAGTGAACCTAGCGCCAGAGTGTCTCTATGGTAAACAAATGTAGTTAATTTTAAAGAGTGCATTTATTCTATTGTGGTTTATGCGCTATCGACGAAGTAGATTTAATTCAATCCAATAAGTTTAAATGAAATGCAAGAAAAATGCGTATAATTTAATATTCCGTACAAGAAAGTCATGTGGTGTACACATCAGATTTTTTAATTATGTAATCCTTGTTGAAATAAAATACGACTATTGCATCTAGTAAATATGAATTACGCATTTAGTAAATATGACTTGAGCCTTAAATGCATGACGATTCAAATTTCTGGAGTTTCCTAAATTCCATGTGAGTTGTATTCCATTTAGTCATAATATATGAAAATCAACTCTCTTACATTTTAATTTAAATATATACTTCACTCATAAAGGTAAAGAAAAATGAAACATTTTTATACCTGTTATGTAATATATGATCATGAGGAATCTTTTAATTAAAAAGATGCTGCAAATTTTCTCATAAATTTTCAGCTGGCCATATTATATATTAAGTTTATTTTAAACTCTATCAGTTAAAACAGTTATGAAAATAAATTAAACTGAATGTGAATGTCGAGGCTGTTGGTCCCTGGTAGCATACAAGTGACTGCTATTAGTACGAGGCACTACAATAAACTAAATAAATTATTAAAATCAAGACTGATGAATAAGGTACCCAATCAAAGCCGTCGTTCACTGGGGACTAATAAGTTAGTTTCTGCCAGTGGTCAACTCATAAACCCCCGAATTGAGAAGATATAGTAAATTTAGACGAATTATTATAATAAAATTCACAAAGGGTAGCAAATAACTATCAAGGTCATCAGTCACTGTGACTTAATGGGCTGACCATCCCGGAGTGTTAACTGTAGAATTTCGTATAATTGCAATATTTAGTAAATCGCTTGGATGATAAATAATGATTGTCTTACAGAAACCATTAGACATTTTGGAACAGGAAGCGCGAAATTTAACTGTGTCTTCACTGGGATTGAAACTACGGATCTTCAGTTTGCTAATCGGACGTACTATCCATTTTATATCGTAAAAACACGCATAGGAGAAAGAGGTAATTTCTTATTTTCATCTCCAACTGAGAAACTAAGCAAACTGAGATGAGAAACGATAACTAGTCGCTCAAATCCAGATGGTGAGAGGTTGTCGTTTACCATAATTTTCGTCTGGTGCCTGCCACCGTAAGAGTAATAGGCTTTTCGAAAAAGAATACAAAAAAATTCAGCTCTTCGGTCGCCTGAATTTGAACCACATATCTTCTAATAACTCACTGAACGTGTTAACCCCTTATGCCAGGAGAGCATGCTCAAGAATATATGGGAAATGTTATTACATTTTCCGCCAAAAGAAACTGAGAGCCACAACACCCAATCAATAAAGTCCAGATGCTGATGAATTATCTTTCTCTATAGTTTAGTTCAGATGCCACTGTAAAGAAAGTGTTACATTTTTTGGAGCATGAAAGAACAAAAAACCAATCGTACTTACATTACGAGAGTAATCGGGACTGCGATAATTCCTTATAGCGTAACGTACCCTAACGTAACGCTCTCAAAATTTCGGAAAGCATCCTCTTTTTTCCTTCTTAAGGAAAAAAAGTTTAATATGATAAGTGTAAAGATGAAGTTATCATAGAAAGCATGTGTCATTGTATGTGATCGGAATATAAAATGATGATATATCTTTGTTTCATAAAACTGAGATGGAACAGGAGGAAAAAGAACCACACGAAACTATGTTCAGTAACTAATTTTCTTCGGACCTCTATGATTTTAAGAACAAAGAATTCGGTCAATTTTAGTTTCCAGCCTTCTCCGAGTACCCAAGCTTCATCAGTATTCTTACCACATTTTCCCAGTAGTGCGCTGCTGAGTCAATTACGTAGAAGCTCTCTTTTAGTGATATTAAAAAAATAGCTTAGTAGTTGCAGAAAGAGTTTCAGTGCACTGTTTTAGATGTAGAGATATATTTTCACATTTCGAATAAATTAACTCTAACTAGAAAGATTCCCCTTCACCTTGAAGTGAAAATCATATGTAAAATTAAGTACCGATTTGCGTTGCAGATAATTTTTCATATACCCTTAACATATTTCTTGTATTAATTTGATTGCAGTTTAGTTTTCAAACTCCGCATTGGCACTGAGAGAAGGCTTAAATATGAAACTGGGTTTTCTAAATGTCCATAGTCGTCCAAATTATAAGTATAATATTTTTAGGTTAGCTAACATGTTAGGTTACCTAACATGTTATTTTAATATTAATACTTTTCTGTACCTTCTATTTTTTTCGTCAGACTTCACCAAAATGGAAATTAAGTGAAGCTTAAATAACGAAAGGTTTTAGAAAGGTAGCTCTGGCAATGAACCGGTAAAGCTCTGCAACCCGGGACGCTGACTTCTATATTCAATGATTGAAGCTGTGCATAGGATTGAAGTTTCCGTTAGCTGGAATAGTTTAGAAGTTGAAAGTTAACTTCTATGGTGTACTTATTAAAATATATGAGTCATGGTAATGCCGTAGGTAGCAATGGCTATTTGTTTATATTTAGTTGTTTTATAAGGCGTATCTCTAAATAAATATTTTAATTAAGTCTTGTTAAGTTTCATGTGTTATTTAATTTAGTTATCTTATTTTTGTTACTTAATGTAATTAGTTTTAAATAAATACTTTATTTTGTAAGATATTTTCTCCGTTTTTACCGCTTTCTTTCGTGATGTAATTGGAAGCACTTCCGGCTAGTAATCGGGAGGTCCTGAGTTTGAATCCTGGCGAAGGCAGTGCGCATTTGTTATATCTTGTTTGTTTGCATATATATATATATATATTTGTTATATCTTCTTCTTCAAAATAAAATGCCTAACAATCATTTCTTGTTAAGTGGGGATTAGTAATTAGGATTAGTAAGTGTTATTTAGGATTAATTAGACTTCTAAATATTGTAAAGATGAAAAATTTTCAGAGCAAGGGGAGGTTAAAATAAATAGCTAATCCAGTTTATCTTTACACATACAGTCTCCAATAAATCAACGAATAAACCTTAAAAAGTGGAAAACTGCAAAGTAACTTCTAACATCAGTGAAAAAACTAAGCTCTGATGCATGTAAAAGTTTTAAATGAATAAAGCAATAGTTCTAATTAAATGGTATAATGAGTCAGTTATTTTTGGTCAAAATATATATTTTTTCTGGGACAAAAATCGCTTTTTAATCTGTGCAATAAAACTTCTAACAAAGTGGGTCTCTTAGGAAAGTTTTTTGTTGATACTTTTATGGTATTAATTGAATTATGTTTAGGGATACATAATTTTCTCTTTAAGAGGATGCGAATAAATGCGAAATTTATTAATATTAGTAATTAAATGCGAAATATTGGTTTTGATGGAAAATTGTTGAAAAATAAGTATATAAATACGGTTCGTTTAAATTAGATAAGGCTAGCCATCTAGATATTTTAACTCGATTTCGTTGAGTTCTGAGCCCGATATAACTAGCAAGTGAAAATCCAAAATTTGACAGGAGAAGGGTTAGATTTCATTGGTACTTTAACCTAGAGCGGCTCGTACTGACTAGCGCGTACCACCTAAACAAAAATTGAAAAAACTTTAGTGCTACATTTTACAAAGATTATTTTTCAGTTTCTGAATAAAAAAAATTAAAAAATTATTTTGCCATTTCCAAAACCTATTGTCTATTTGTATTAAATATGCACGCATAAAAATATTAGATTAAAATTGGTTACTATTTTAATTATGAAAATTTTAGTTATAATACCTTAATTCTAAAACTTTATGTGAAATCTCGGCCTGTTTAAGAGAGATAAAGTAGTAATTAAAATTATAGCTTATTTCAAGTTTCATTGCTATCGAAAGTTATTTATATTTTCTTGTTTATTACTTCAAAGGATATTGATATACAAATTTTTCTCAACGGAGTGTAGTTTTCTTCACCCTTACGTGAATGCCCGAAGGAGTAAAAATGCCAAGCAAACCATGGATCTCTTACAAGAATGAATACAAGGTGATAAAAAAGGGGACTTACGATTGAGGCCTATGTCATGGTATGTGAATATGGCCGGTTTATTCCTGTCGCCATGGACGGCTACTACCATTGTTCCCGTGTCTGTCATAATTCTGTCTTCCTGAAATAGAAAAATTTTAAAAACTTGAATCAAATTTCTTATGTAACATACCATGTAGAATTAAATTGCACATGTAAAGTAATAATTTTGTTGCAGTTTAAATTTGCTCAAATTTTCAAGTTTTCTGAAATTTCGAAAATATAAAATAAAATATCATATTTCAGATATTGTCCAAATATTTTCAAATTTTAATTGTAATTAATATTAGAATATTTTAATGTTATTTTATTTAGGATGGTTTCTCCGATCTTTTTTGGCTTCAGTCCTGAAATTTCTTTTACTAAAACAATTTCTTTTAAAATTTTCACGCATTCGTTTTAAGTATTTTTGATGGTAATGTAATGTTTTTGTTATTTAAATTTAGTGGTGCACGTATTCTATTTAAGAAAAAAGTAATTAAGCGTCATTCTGGAATCTTGGCAGGGCATACGATCCTCAAACATAGTGGTGGTTCGACCCACCTCAAGTCTAAGCGACTGGATGAGCTGCGTGAATACTTGTTTACATTTTACCATATGTAATGTGAATATGAGTTAATGCCCTTCAGAAACTTCTCCATGCAGGCCTCTCTCACCTTGGCAGATAAGTATAGCATGTTTTTCCTTTGTCAAATAAATCGAATCCAACCCTGATACATTAGCTTTCTGGCGTTCAGCCAGTTAATGCTGGTAAAACAATTTACAGGCAATTAATAAGCAATGTTTGCTTACTTGTACATAGCAAAACACGTTAGGCTAGAAGTAGGAATGTTTTAATGAAGGACTTTTAAAGGAAAATTATGATTTTTATGCTAAAAATTGAAAACCTCACGACACTCCGCCCATCAATGGGTATTCCAATTCGAATCGACAAACTGGAATTCAGCGAATAGGCAATAAGCAATGTTACTCTATGTAAGGAAACTTGAAAATAAATAATAATAATAATAAATTGTATTACTTAAACTTTAGTAGTCTCTGATATATGTAAAACTTAAAAATTAACTTTGTACTGCACAATTTTATTTACCACTGTAACAGCATATAATATTGAAACCTTTTGTTTCTTTTCCAATCATTTTTCTTGAAATTTTCTGCCATATACGTATTTTCGATGATAATATAATACTTCAGAGAGATTTTTTTCCTTCACATTTTCATAAATTTTTTAGTCTAAGTTGGAAATAATCTTTTACATATTTTTCATATATATCTTTGCTCAACCATCAGACTGATCATCAAAAGAATCTGCTTCAGAATTTCTAGCACAATGTACCAAATTTGGGCAGTTTTTCTAGAATCAGTCTAAAATGCTATGAATAGTGGTGTTTAAGTTGCTATGAATAATCGTGAAACTGCTAACACTGACAGAGTTTTTAAATTAAAATTATCGAAGACGCAGTTAAATGAACTGAATATAATCTTACACCGTGGAATAGGTCAGAGCGCTTTAAAGGAAAGGTCACCCTGAGTACTTAATTGCTAAGCTCATTAAAGATAATAATTTTGCTACATTTAGAAGTAGTGATTTTCTTTATTATTTCTCCTTCACTAGAAATTAAAATCTACAGGGTATCACATAAAAAAGGTACACCTTAACTGAATAAAATGCAAGTTAATTTGCTTGGTGTTGATATTGTTAAAAACATTCTGTCTTATGTAGCTGACTTTTATTAATTATGAAGAAGTAGCAGTAAAGGAAATTCTGCTAAAATCTTTTCTACAAGAGACAACAATGTAATTAACAGAATTTTAAAGAACAGCAAGCGTAATGCTTAGATATGGTCTATACAGGAATGATTACATTCAGTATCATACGTATGTTACACTACGAACTTACTGAGTCTACACTGAGTAACTTTATTTTACTGCCGGGTGACGTTTTACTATGGTCTTAACCTAACACAAACTGATAACAGGAAACGTATAAAAACGTTACAATATTTATTGGTACGTCAGCTTAAAATTACAACTAAGTAGAATAACCAAAACTAAATTTCTGCTTGCGGTTTTACTAACACAATAGTAGTTCGATGTTTTCACCACCGATTGATTGTATCCCATACATTTTCCGTAAGATATTACTCGATGATCTCTTACAGAAATGACCGATCTCTTATGGAGCATCTAAATCACCTTACTCGATGATCTCTTATGGAAATCACAGAGTAAGGTGATTGAGTTAGATTCCTTCTACGTAGTCTCTGACTCTCATTTTGCTAAAGAATAGCAGTGCACTTTATTCAAGGTCTTTAGTGCTGTTTTCGTTAGAAATAAACGTGAAGCAACATGATGTAAGAAATCCATTATACTGCATCGCGTCACTTACGATAAAGCAGTCGCAAAGTCGATGTACTATCGAGGTTTAATTTTAGTAACATTTTTTGTGATTATGGATTGCCTGTAATACAAGCGAGATAAAATTAAAACACGCATTTACCTGCCTGCATTCGGAATCACTCCTGGACATGTTCCGCATGAGCGGGAAATGTAATTCTATATTTCGGAGTTCCGCGTCCTCCGAGGTCATCTTGATCACTTTACCTGCATGAATAAAGAATGTTTAATACAGATTATGTAAATGACAGTTAAAATAGAGAGATGCTAAAAAGTAAAGGACAGTTGTAAAACTGGTGTAATTATGTAAACACTGATTAAAATTTCATGTATCTCCATTTGCTTATAGCAATTATATGCTATAGATCTCAAAAACCATCCATTGCATTTAGAACCACATAAAGTGACGTTTCGCATAAAGAATGCAGTCAGTTCCGAGATAGCAGACATTCATTATGCGGGATTTTTTCGTGGGTTAATATGGAAATAATTTTAATCCTTAAGCGAGAAGGATCAAGATCACAAAACACCGCAAAAAATTTCAGGTATTAAAATTAAAAAATAAAATAAAATTTTAAATAAAAGTATTAAAAATAGTTTTTATGTTGAAAATGTCGGGAATTTATTGTATTTATTTTTAAAATATTTACATACAATACAGTATATGTAGACGCAGTCTCATAGTTTTTAGGTCAGTTTAGTCTTAGTCTTCCCAATATTTCATTGGAAGTTGAAGATTCAGGTCTCCTTTGTTTTCCTACACTTGGCTTCTGGCTGGTCCTGATCTGTGATTGCGAAGTAGTGCATGATCATTGAGCAGATCAGACATTTCGTTCAGCTCAATTTATCAGAAGGCCACTGTTTAGCTGCGACGTGGACTACTTCTAATTAAATGATTTTTTCTTTAAGAAAAGCAGAATCAGTCTAATTTTAGGTCGAAGGTCCTTAATGGTTACGTCTGGCGTCCGTCCCTTAAGTTCTCTTTTTCCTAAGCAGATAAAACTTTTATTTTACCTCTAGGCTCGTTTTCCTGGTTAATAAAAACTTACAAGTCTTCCGTGAGTATTTAAATATTTATTTGTTGTCCCTCTTCTTTGCTTATTGTTTTCCACAAATCTTTTGTATTTACGTGCAGTTAAAACAGAAAGTAAAACAAAGCCTTGCGTTCTGCGTGTAATGAAATGTGCATCGTAATGCGGGATCAAATTCATTATGCGAGGCACCACTGGATTTGTGCTCTTTTTCGTGTCTAAACTCTGATTTAAATTAGGGGCCTTTAACCTAATTTAAATCATAAAGATAGTGATGTTACAAAATCAATTGACAACAAAAACTTACGACAATGATTGATGCTAAATAATAATTAATAATTAAATAATGAGAAAAATAATTAATAATAATTAATAATAATTCATATTTAATCATAATTAATTAATGAGAAAACATTTGGCATTGTTGTTACTTTATTAAAGTTTCGATACCCAGTAGAATCTGTGTTGTTGAGATTCGTAAAGTATCCTCCAAATGGTAATCTGTCAGGCATGTTCTTGTTTTTGATTTTGTGCTCTTTATTTGACTAAACAACTGTTCACATATGTAGGTGTTACCAAAGATAAAAGATGTGAACAATACATGTTTACGTATTCCTGGACACTTCTCTTTGGACAAGTATTTCCAATAAAAATCAGTTAATACAAGAATTTACAGAAATTTGCATTTTAGTACAAAATCACACTGCAAATCCTAACAGAAGTTCAGCAGAAATACTTTCAATATCTATCGAGAATGACAATGAAAAGATTTTCATAAAAATTTTATTATCAAGAAAGTCGAAAAAACCTGCTTTTGTATTCCATTCTGAGACTTGCACTATACATAATCATCCGAGCTCCATATTGTAGTTTTATTCATAAATCCATGAAGTTTGGAAAGTGAATGAAATTCTTACTTAGCAAAAGATCCTTCTGATAGGATTAATTTGGTCTTAAACGCTTTCATAGGTTATAAATATTCAAAAACAAGTAGACTTTTCCGCAGTAAACGGTAGTTCAGATCACTGACATGACCAGTAATATCGATAAGAAATGAAAAATCTCTTAACCGCTCCTCAGCATGGAATTCGCAAAGAGATTTCGTTTTAGATTTTATGAATTTCTGTGCTGCATTCGCCAAGGGAAACGGGTGCAGAAGCATCTTTCCTCAAATCAACCAACGAACTGTCGCATACTACACAATGTCACTTTGTTTGGATTGAGTGCTCAAATCATTCAAGAACTGCTTAAATTGTCTGTGATGAAATTAATCACTTTTTCAACAGCGGTCATTACATATTCAAAGTTTAAGAAGGACTTCTTTCACAAATTTTCTTAATGGTTAATACAATGGAAAGCCATCATAGCACAATTCCATATGCCTTCGCTTCAGATTTGAGTAATATTATAACTACTATTCTCTATCGTGTCTCAGAAGGAGTACCATCTGTGATTATAGCAAATTTATTGCTCAAGTCTAACTCATATTTAGCCAAAGTTTTTTCCAAACTCAAATCTGATGTCTGTGTTGTACCTTTAAGTGCAAAGAAATTGGCTAATTCCTGTACATTCGTGAAGTTTCTATCAGCGCCACGATAAAAAATGGCTTCTTTTACAGAGTTGAATCCGTTGATGATTTTGTAGCGGTTTCTGGTAAATAGTTTCGGTTCTTCGAAACGAATCGGAAATGTATTTTATACTTTGCCGGTTTGCCATTTGGCATTCCATAGAATGCCTAGGAAATGTATGAAATATGAATCGTTTCATACATTGCCGGCTAGTTTCAGACATTATATATAAAGCCTAGGCATTCTATAGAATGCTGGATTTCATACTTTGCCGGTAACATATCTACAATGTATCAGGTAAAATGAGTAGCTACGATCGTATGGATGATAGAATGATATGAAGAACTGTGGGTAGATTAGAGGTAGGCAGATCACAAGCGTAGGTGGCTATAGAGCTCAATGTAACGCCGTCTGCAATTTGTGCAAGTAGTTTCAATCACTGTATCCATATAGAGAATATATGGATAAAGGTTGTAGAGACATTAGGTACTTTATGGAAGATGAAAAATGAGCAATCGCCTTCGCTGGGAATCGAACCACGGACTTCTGGATACCGGCCCAGCGTGCAGAACCACTACACCACGAAGGCACGCTAGGAAGACGGGAGAAATACCTTATAAGGTCAATCAAGATCCACAACGGCGAATGCGTATCATTATCTGGCACTTCTAGCGGGACGGCATAGGACTGCTACAGCTTCACAGCTCTCACTCGAGGTTCCCGTAGCAGCATACAACTCACAGCTGTCACATGAGTTGAATGCTACCGCTAGAACCCGAGGTTTACGTTCTATAGTAGCCCGAAGGCTTCAAGAGATAAAGCTGTATGCCAGAAGATAGATTGCTTGCGTCGCACTCACTGCAGCACACAAGAGAGCGCGTTTAGCATTGGTGAAGACACGATTTGCCTTGGACTATTCTTGAAGCTGGTAGAAGGCACATGTTGTCTGCACACGTGCCTTGGATTACACGATGTGCCTTGGAGCAGTCTTGGAGCATGCTTTTTACAGAGGAGTACAGATTCGGCTGTACACTGTTTCTCAATTTGCCTACATCTAGACAGAACCTACAATATAATACGACATCATCCCTCTTTCATCAAAGAAAAGGGTCGCTACGATGGTGGGGGTGTAATGGTTTGGAAGACATTATGTTGGACGGCCGCCCATCTCTACCTGGGTTTGAAAAAGGCTCCCTAACAGCAGATCTTACAGCCCTATTTTCGAAGTTTTAGGGGCGTAGTTGGTTTTGGGTTCTTGTTAATGGACAATAACGGTCGTTCTCATAGAGCTCAGCTAGTCAACAATTTCCTGGAAAGTGAGGATATTCGCCGCAAGGATTGGCCAGCCAAATCTTCTGACAGGAACTTTCTACAGCATATCTGGAACGCTCGCTCTTGAAAGCGTAACGTTATCTTTCCATCCCCTCCAAGAAACATCCCGGAGTTGAAAACGGCCTTGCTGCAGGAATGGGATCGATTGCCAGATTAACTCTTCATCTGCCTCCTATCCAGTACGTAGTGACACTACACTACCTGTCTGGTTGTAAGAGGCCCCATATTAAGCTCATTTTCAGTTCGATATCACATTGTGAATTTTGGACATCCCTGAACTCTGAGATTTAATGATAATCATGGATATATAAAATTACTTTAGAACAGTACATTTCTTTCTGTGTTATGAATGTATATCCAGACCAAATTTCATTAAAATCTGTCCACTAGCTTTTCATAAATTCTACATAATGTGCAAATTCTTTTTAATTTTGGACACGAGTGTATATTGACTCTTAACAAAAGCAGAGCTGGGTGAGATAAATATCAAACTTTTCACAAAACATCTCTATGAGGAAAAGTAAAGAACAGCAAGAAAAATGAAACAGTCATATTGACAGTTTCGTTTTTAACTTTTTAAAAAGTTTCTCCAGGTCACTAAAATATCTTCATGGAGCTACGGTTTGAAAACCCTTGTATTAAATGAAGAGTAAAAATGGCGAGTGGTCAGTACACTTGAGACGCGTGAAATGCAACTGGACATCTTCAATGATCTGAAGACTCCCAAAAGCATGATCTTAGAATCTGAGATTGTTTCAAGCATAAAAACAATTCTTCTTCTTGCTGTTTAGGATCGATCAAGGCAACTAAAGACTATTATTTACCATTACCATGAAAAAAAGACTACCGTTTCGCATCTTGATTTTTGCATCTTAGCCTTTACCCAGGCAGCACGTCTCCAAAAATATACGTATAATTTTGGTGAAATAACGGTATGGTATTTTTTGCACGTTACTTACTATGTTACGAAATTTATACGAATAAAAAAGGCTGAAGATACTGTTGACTCTTTATCGTTATTTTCCACACATTATTTTTACAAAAATTATACGAACCCGAATGCACTGAAAAAAACTACCGACTTTATGGTACATTTCAATCGTCACCTTTACGGATATTATACGAATTCTAAAAAGATTGAAAATGAAGTTTATTAATTCAAAATATTTAGTGAATGTCTGGCATTTTACTTTGTTTTCCTTTTTCCACGAACATGAAAAAAGGGTATGCAAATATTTTTTCCAACGTCATTTTAATGCACTATCAAAATTATTTC